GTAATTTATCCAGTTTTTCTCAGTTTTACCCCAACTCTGATGTCAGTCCCATTCTACCACAGTGGCACCATGCAGTATTTGTCCTTTTGTGACTGAGATATTTCATTCAGCATAATGTCCTCCAGGGTCACCCATTTTGAATAATAGTGCATGAGTTCCTTGTCTTTCCCATTGTGTGAATATATCACAGCTTCTCTATCCATTGGTTTGTTGATGGGCACTTGTTGTTTCCAACTCCTTGCTATTGTGAACAAAGCTGCGACAAACATGGGTGTGCATATTGTTAGGTTTTTAAATCACGAAATTCCCTTTCTGTATCTTTATTCCCTCTTTGTGTCTGTTTATTGGAGAAACGAAATAATTTATCATATAGTTGCCCACAGTTAAAGTTTTGTTGTTTGCAATTCTATAATATAGACACATTTTCCTTGTCTTCATTATTTCTGATCATTGGTCATTGAATCTAGATGTTTAGTAATTTTCAGGAGTGAGTCTTAAGAGGATGATCACCTCTTAGTGAATGCTGCATCTTTATCAAGAAATGTATAATGTCTGATTTATTTTGTTTTGTGAGTAGCCACTGATTACATTATATATTGAATTTGCCATTTCAAAATAGTAATACTCCAATTCTTTTATTCCATCTTTAGTTATACTACTATTTTAAGAAAAATGTTTGGCTTGCTATTTGATTATACAATGATAAAGTTCCTATCAGAAAAAAACAGAATAAATTCTTGAATTCTTGCTTTTATTAATGTTTACACAATATAGTTGATTCTCAACAATTCTCTAAAAGTGACCGTTTCCTTCCCTCCCTGTATAATTTTGAACTTAAAAGATTTAAACATAATCATTATCTTTGTTGTACTCAGATTAAGATTATTCTCTCTTTGGACAATGAACTCCCCTCAAGATGGTTTACAAGTCCTTTTAACACAATTCTTATAGATCCTAAAACATTCTTGCTATCTATTATGACAAGTACATTTCCTGGCCGAGAACTACAATCTATCATTTCTTTAATTAGTTTGTTTCATGATCACTCTCTGACTGATACTAGGACTATTCCTTGCTACTGGTTTATTTCTGGATTTCTTTGTAATCTCTCTCTCTCCTTATCTCTCTGTCTGTATATCTCTCCGTGTGTGTGTGTGTGTGTGTGTATGTATGCATGTGTATATATGTATACATACATACACACACACATACATGTATACTCATACAAGTATACATATACACCTCAAGTATACCCAGGAATCTCATGAGTTTTCCTAATACTTCCACTTCAAATTCAGGATCATTGAATTACTTTTTCTTACCTTTACTTCTCCTTTTTCCTCACAACAAAATCCTTATCTGCAAGGATATTTGGCAGATGAAACTGAACTGATAATTAATTGATTTCCTTTATCTCACATTATACCTGAAACCTAGAAAACAGTTGCTGCCACTTGCTTAACTACTGAAAAATCTTGAAATTACAGACTGTTTGTAATCATACAGATACTTGCATGTATGTGTATAGATGGATGTAGGGCTGTAGTCTGGATTGCAAATGGAGACGCTATCATGAGAATAGAGTTTACACTATCGGGTATTCCCAGCAGTGGTTTATTTATGCTTTATGCTCAGGACCAGAAGTAGAGTCAATACCTGACGAGTACAGAGCCCACAGGGTTGAGTATCTGTGTGTCCTTGACTGGATGGAAGAATAGAAGAGCAGAGATCTAACTACTTAGCTTGGGAGCAGCCGGCTGTGTGTGTTGAGCTGAGAGTCCAAAACCATACACTACACGAGATGACTAGTGGAGCTCACTCTCAGCAACAGACCACCAGTCCTAACTAGCAGCAGCTTCACTATAAGGATGAGGAGGCTATTTCAGGAGTCTAAGTCAGACAAATCCTAAATGGTGCTTTGGGGGAAACTGATGATGCTTCAAAGACAAGCCAATAGCAAAAAGCACTATATGGTGATCATGAACACCTGGGGTCTGTAATACAGTGGAGGGGCATGTCGAGAAGAGTCAAGTCGGGCAGAGACCCCTTGGAGGAGGCTCTGAAGGAAAGGGAGGGTTTTGTGCTGTCCTTGGTGCCTCTCCTCCGTGGACCTTAATAAAGTCAACTAGTATGTTCTCTGGTGGCTTAGTGGTAAGGAATTGCACTGCCAACCAAAGGTATGTGGTTCGAATCCACTAGCTTTTCTGTGGGAGAAAGATGAGCAGTCTCCTCCCCTGTGATTTACTGCCTCTGAAAACCCACTGGAGGGTCATCTATGGATCAGTTCTGACTCAATGACAGGACTTCACTAGTGTGTCCTTTTTGGCATTGTAAATGGTACCATCCTTTTGGTGCTTCATAAATGGCTCCCTTCCTCTTTTAAGGGGTTGCCAAAGAGTGCTAAAGAGCAATGATGTCGTCTAGAGACTAAGGTGTGCCTGATTCGGGCCATGATTTTCTCAATTGCTTGTTACACATCTAAGAGCTAGATAGTGACTAAGGATGACAGAAGAAGAATCAATGCCTTTGAGCTGTGATGCTGGAGAACAGTATTGAACATATCATGGACTTCAAAGAGAACAGACAGGTCTAACCTGGAGAGGGTGAAACCAGGTTGCTCCTTGGAGGCAAGGAGTTTTAAATTCCTTCTCAGATACTTTGGGCATGTTGTCAGGAGGGGCCACTTCTTGGAGAAGAACATCATGCTTGGAAGGGTGGTGGGTCAGCAAAGGAGAGGAAGACCTTGGATGAGATAGATTGACACAGTGACTGTGCAGAGGGTCAGGTGAGGTGGGTCAGAGGCAGTGAGGTTGGCTCACGATAAGACAAGTGTCAGAGCTGTTCATAGTGTCACAATAAGTTTTAATCAACTCAGTGGCACTTAGCAACGATGTAAGGCACTTGCGGCTGTTACTCCTTTTTAAAAAGCCAGTGTATTAACATATAATTTGCATACCATTTGCAAACTCACTCATTTTCATTATACTCTTCAGTGGATTTTAATGAATTTGCAGAGTTGTAAAGCTATCATCATGGTCCACTTTTATAATATTTCCAATACCCCAAAACAATCTCAGATGCCTCCTTGGCCATCAATCTTCATTCCCACTTTCAGTGTAGGAAAACATGACTGCTTTAGGCCTCTGTAGATTGGCCTCCTGTGAATACTTCATATAAGTACAGGCATGTACCCTTTGTGTCTAACATTTTTCATATGACATAATGATTTTGAGCATGAATCACTTCTGCTTTTAAAACAGCTTATTTAAAGGCTCTGGCACTTGGAGATCAGATCCATTTGCTAGGTTCTGTTTTCCTGAGGTACCTCATTGTATGACCAGTTGTGTTTTTTTTTTCTTCTCCATTTTCTCCCTAGGATTTAGTGGCTTTTGAACACCAGTGGACAAGCTTCTTTGCTAATTTTGATACAGAAATTCCTTTCCTCCTGGAACTTTCTGAATCTCAAGCTGGAGAGGTACGTAAAGCAAAGGTCAAAGTCAAAGGAGAAATTTATTTGCTTATTGTTTTTCGTTTTAAGGACACAAAGCTATCACTCCTGATTTGTCTTGGTTATCGTTGCCTTTGTGGTTGCTATAGAGAACCCCTGCTCCCGGCTAACCTCTAATACGTTAAAAACTTGAACTCACAGCCATCTGTCTAGTCACTTCTGATTCATAGCAACTCTCCATTTCATAACAACCTGATACAGAAACCTGTGGAGCACCTGAGGGATTTGAACTACCACCTTCATGGTTAACAGCTTGATGGATTACACACTATGCCATCAGGGCTGCACCCCTATATAGGAATGTGTTTGGGGTTTTTTTCCCACAGTGCGAGCATCTCAGTAAGAAGGATAATCACTTTTCAATGTGATGGTGGCTCTGTCAGCCAGAAGTTCTATTGAGCATTTAGAGAGAATAGAATTTAAACCTACTTAATAAATCCTAGGAATAATTCTACATAAGAGTAGGACACCTTGGCCAATTGTCCCTCCAGGTAATGCCCAGCTTATTTTCCAGGCAAATAGTAGTTAATAATAGTAAAAAAGAGCTACCAGGTTCGGGACAAGATCCACTCCATGAGTAAATTGAAGTATCTAAAATGAGCTCTGGTGGAATAATGTAGAGCGAGTTCAACACTAACCCAAAGGTGGCACCTCTCTGGCAGTTCAAATCCCCCAGCAGCTCTGGGGGAGAAAGATGGGAAGTCTCCATCCACGCTGTTTACAGCTTCTGAAAACTCACTGGAGGGTCAGCCTTGAGTCTGTTCTGACTTGGCAGCAGTGAGAAGAAGAGAGAACCAATACTGAACAATTTCAAAATCGCATCAACAGGAGGGGGTCAGAGAACCACTTTGAGCTTGCCTTTGAATCTACCTTGAGCTTATCTTGCTGGTCCTCCATTACTTTGTGTACCACTGTAACCCAGAATAATCCTCGGGAGCTCTGGTGCCCCAGGCTGAAGGGAGTTGCGCTGCTGCCCCAAATATATAAACCCTCTCCCACGTGCTAACCCTCTCTGGCTGTTTGAATGCACCTGCCACTCCACTCCATGAGGGAAGGATGGGCGGTTTCCTTCTGTGCTAATTACAGCCTCGGAAAACTTGCTGGAGGGCAAGCTGTGGGTGATTCTGACTTGAAGGCGAAGAGTTTTCTTCATCCTGTAGAGTTGATCACATTACAGGAGCCATATAGAATTCAGCTCTTGTTAAGCTCTTTGTTTCTGGGTATTTCTGTTGACTGTGTTTTCTTTTGATTATGGATCAGTCACATTTTGCTTTCCACTTACATGGCTATCAGTTTTTCATTGGATGTTGCTAAGGATTAGATTTTTATGTACTATTTTTTAACTCTTTTTTTATTGTTTTACATTTGTTTTTGTTCAAAGTTCATATACATAATGTTTCACACGATCCTTTATTCTTTTATAAAGTATTGGGGGTGATTTTCAGCAAACAGTTAAGTTATTTGAGGATTACCTTGATTCTTTTAAGGTTTGTTTTAAATAATTCTTTTCGATTGGTCTAGAGTAGTTGAGGAGCCCTAATGAAATTGTTACGTGTCACATTACAAACTGAAAAGTTGGAGGTTTGAATCTACCAGGTGCTCCAAGATTCTCTACTCCCATAAAGATTTACAGCCTAAAAAACCCTGTTGGGGTTGCTATGAATTGAAAGTGACTAGACAGCAATGAGTTTTGAGTAGAGGAACCATTATTTTAGCATAAATTAAAATAAGAACAGTATCCACCAGATGCTCTGCCGGGGAAGGAGGGACAATCTCCTCCTGTACCAGTCAGATCTGATTTGACGGTACACGCACACAAAAATAAAATAAAATTAAAAAACAAAAACAAAACAAAACAAAAAATAAGAACAGTAAATAATCCTCTAAGTATTTTCATACTACTGAAAATCTGTATATCTCATGATAGAATTGTTGGGTTAAGTGAATGATAAATGCTTATGCAGCCTCATTAACCATTACCTGATTCTCTGCATAGCATAGCATAGCATGCTATTGAGAAGACTATGGCCTGGATCAGGTACACCTTAGTCTCCAGCCTGATGTCATTGCTCTTCAGTGCTTTGGAGAGGTTCCATAGTCACTATGAGTCACTAGCGACTCAATGGCACATAACAAAAATACTTTTTCTGCAGAAAGGTTACACTCAATCGGCATTTCTGTTAGCAAGATGTATGAATACTTGTTTCATCACAGCCTCCCTGATAGAATGTGTTTCGTATTTTTAATTTTTTACAATCTTACAGGTGGGAAATGGTATCTCAGTATTATTTTAATCTGCATTTCTCTTTGAGTGAAATTTTACATTTCTTTATGTGTTTTAGGGTCATTTTTACATTTTACTTTCATATAATTTCCCCACTTCAATATTAGTACAGTATTATTAACTGATTATAAAGTATAGGTTTCAGGTCTTTAGTCCTTCAATTTTTTAGAGTTCTTTTTTGAGGTATTCACATTTTACCTATGGTACTAATTATAAATACTCTGATTTTGTCAGTTGTGTTTTGACTTTATCTTTATGCCACATAAATGTTTTAAATGTATTTATGTTTATCCATTTTTTCTCTTTATTGTATTTGGATCCCAGAGTCATTGTATAGAGAAAAGCTTTGCGCGAAGGTTGAGTAGAAATTTCTCTTTTCTGGGAGAAAGATGTAGTAGTCTCCAGAGATCTGTCAAGATTCAACTTTAGGAAATCCTATGGGAACGTTTATATATGGTGACTGTGAGCTGGAATAAACTCAGTGGAAGTGGGGTTTAGTACTTCCGTGGTTTTATTTTTTAATATTTAGATTTCTCATCCATTTGAAGGGATCTCTAGTAGCCTGGCGGTATGAGGCTGAGCTGCCAACCCAAAGGTTTGCAGCAGTTCGAGTACTGTTCAAATTTAGCAGCAGCTCTCAGAGAAAAAGATAGTCTGCTCCCATGCAGTTTCCCGCCTCTGAAAACCTGCTGGAGGGTCACCTACAAGTCGGTTTTGACTTGACAGCACAAAACTGCAGCAATCCATTTGAAGTTTTCTCCTTTATATGGCTCTCATTTTTATTTTTACTCTGTGACAGCATAGTTAGAAGCTTCAGCTGTGTAATTTACTAGTTCTGTGTTTTAAACAAGTTAATGTTTATGTTTTAGGAGACTTATCTGTAGAGAGGAGATAATGACAGAATATATCTCATAGGTTGTTATTAAACGTACTTGAGGTGATAATTGCCTGTCACAGCTCATGCCTAGACTCTCAGTAAACTTCATCTCTTATAATTATTTTAAAATGTAAACACCAGTCTTCCAGTTGATAAACATCCAAAGGATATAAATAAACAGATAAGTAATGAAAGGAACAATTTCAATAAATACTGACCGTATGTAAAATACTCTATTTTGTTTAAGATCAAGACAATGTAAAGTAGAATAACAGTGAGGTACCAGTTTTCATTTTTCAGCTAGACAATGTGTTTAAAACATTTGCTATTACTTATGATGCTAGAATGAGGTTCATACTCCTACACTGTAAGTTGATAAAATGTCCTTAAAAAACAGCTTGAGAAAACAATAACAACAACAACAAAAAACCAATACAGCTTGATAGGTGAAGGGAAAGGCAACATATGATAAAGGGTTGAATAAGCATTATGAATAATAAATTACATTAATCAGTGGCAATTAATGTCATACAACAAAAATGTCTAAACCAATATAAAAGAAAAATATTTTTTAAAAAAAACAAAATACTCATCAATGATTGTATTAAAAACCTAGTATGATTTGTAAACCTTCCCTCAAATAACAACAAAAGCAATTTTTACAAAAGAAATAACCATGAAAATATAAATAAAATAGTGTGATGATTTATTTTTTCTTTTACCCTTTAATTTCCAGATTTGCCTTAATAATCAGAACTACAAATAAAACTTTAGAAAAGTTATTCATTACACCACTATTCTTGATGTGGAAAACATATTAACTGTCAGTTTCCAGGAATAGAAACCTATTTTTAAAACTTTGATATATACATTCTGTGAGTGTACCAGAAAAACAGGAAGAAAATGTACGAGAACATTGTTCTCAGAGATAATAGGTGGTCTTACTGTGTTCTGCAGTGAACATATTTTATTTACATAATCAGAAAAATTATAGATTGCCTTTTGACATTATGAACCCTTTATTATTATTATTATTATTATTATTCGTGTGTGTGTGTGTGTGTGTGTGTACCTTCAAATCAGATCTGACTGGTACAGGAGGAGATTTTTCCTCCTTCTCCAGCAAAGCATCTGGTGGATTCGAACTGCATACCTCTGGGATTGCAGTGCAGCTTCCTGCCACTAGGCCACCAGAGCTTCCCTGTGAGCCCTTTTAACACTTTAAGAAATCCCAATAAACCATTCAATGGAGTCGGAACTGACTCAGAACTGACTCTCTAATGGTTTTTCAGAGCCTGTAAATTGCAGGGGAGGAGACTGCCCACCTTTCGCCTAAGGAGTTTTTGGTAGGTTTGAACCACCTGCTTTTCAGTTGACAGGACAGCTCTCTACTGACTTGGCCACCAGAGCTCTCTCTTTTAACACTAGACACATATTATTTTTGATGACTGTTTAACCTAGTACTATGTAACACCAAAAACTAATAATTACTTGTTTAGTTTAGAATTTTTTGTTTTCCTGTTCATTGTCTATTTTTTGGGTGAAGATTTAGATACATAGATCTACATATTTTTTGTTGTTGTTGTTATGGACCGTTGAGTCTGAAGCTGACCCTCCCGCAGGTTTTCAGAGGCAGTGAACCACACTGCAGGAGATTGCCCATCTTTCTCCCCAGGAGCAGTGGGAGGATTCTGATCACCTCTTTAGGTTGGCAGTGCAGCTCCTTACCACTCAGCCACTGGAGCTCTCGTGGATACATGCTGCGGAGTCAGCACCGACCCACAGCTGACCCTCCAGCAGGAGGCAGTTGATCGCCCGGGAGGAGATTGTTCATCCTTCTCCCACAGAGTGGCTGGTGGATTTAAAACACGTGCCCCTGGGATTACAGTGCAGCTTCTTGCCACTGGGCCACCAGAGTTCTCTCTCTCTCTCTCTCTCTGTGTCCATCCATACATAAAATGTATACGGTATACATGTCTGTCTCACAGTGTGAGTCGTATGTATATGTTTCTGTGTATATATGCCATATATGAGGATTTTTATGACTGCTTAACTGTGATCATTATAATACAGTGTTATTATATATGAAATTATATTAATATAAACAATGTTGGCTTCTTTCCAGCCATTCCGAAGTTACTTCAGTCATGGAATGATCTCCAGCCACATAACGGAAAACAGGTAAAGCTCCCAGAGAATAAGGGTGGGTGGTAACAGAGAAGATGGGGTGGACGAGGAATGTGAGGTGCAGGAGTCAGGAGAGTCTACAGGCAGAGTTCTGTCATCCAAAAATGCAAGTCCATGCTCCATAAGCTTTTCAGTTTCACTACTTATTTAATTTCTTTTGTTGTTGTTGTTTTTCCTGTAATTTTATAGTAAATGAGCTTTGAGAACATTTAATAAGCATTAAACCAGAATGTGATGTGCGTCACAAGCAGTTTGCTCAAGGGCTTGCAAAGACAGGAAGAAATTTTATACTTTTTATATAGCCAAGCAGATGCAACCCGTTTCATGCATATCCTCAAGATAAATAGTAACTAGTTCTCAAGTAAGAGGACCAAACAGTAGCTTTTGAATTCACCTAAAAATCACCTGGTAGTTGGGACAACTGATTGCTAAGTTCTTTTTCAATGAAACAAATTTTGAAGAGACAGCCAGTTCTGACTCCAGGTTCACAGCATACTGACTGTGTTGTGTAGATGAACAGTAAGAAAATACTGCAGTTGTTCAGGGAAGAAGTGATAGTGGGTTGGCCTAAGTTTGTGGCCCTGTGAAGGGGGAGGGAAAAAGACAAATAAGATTGATGTTTTGTAGGCTGATTGGAGGGAGTGACCATTCAGGAAGGCATCTCACAGTATGGCTTGGTCCCTGGATGGTCCCATTTAGGGAAGGGGATAAGGTTGAAGGAATAGTTTCAGAGAAAGAAGAAGGAACAGATACTGAAGCTAAAACTTAAGGAATACACAGAGATCAAGTAGAAGAGGAGGATATTGGTGAAGGAGACTGGAGAGGTGACAGCCCTCAGTGTGCAAGGTGTCAGATGCTTCAGAGAGAACAAGAAACTAAGGCTGAAGACGCTCTATTGAACTGGCTACATAAAAGTCATTTGGTGACATTTGCAAGACCCTTGAATTCTATGACTATTGGTTTAGAGTGGGCGGAGGAGTAAACAGAAAGCATAAACAAACAAACAAACAAAAACAGCCAAGAGAGAAGGTAAAGAAGACAGTACAAGGACAGGCACGTGTCCTGGTAAGAGGGTTTTCAAACATCCTCACATCATTTCCTCCTGAAAATTAGTAAATTTTGCAGGAATTTTTTTTAACTGCTATATAGTTTGAGAGAAAGCTCTGGTGGCCTAGTGGCAAGAAGCTGTGCGGTAATCCTGAAGACACGCAGTTCGAGGCCACCAGCTGCCCCGCGGGAGAAGGATGGGCAGTCTCCTCCCGTGCAATTAACTGCCTCTGAAAACCCGCCGGAGGGTCAGCTATGGGTCAGTTCTGACTCCATGGTACACAGCAACAGCAAAGAGCTTGAGTACTACAAGTAGCATCATTATTTTAAACTTGTCTGTTAAAATGGTATTTCATAAAACTGGCACTGGGCTCGGTCACTGTATCATGAGCAACAAATGTATAGAGTGTACTCTGTTTTTTTAGAAAATGAGACAAGCCAGAAATATAAGCCTGACTTGAGTTTAGTTACATCTCTAAATGACTTATTCCTGTGGGTCATTAGAGAAAGTCAGAGACTTGGCTGTTCCACCAGCCAAGAGTCTTAGGTGGACTGCACTGTCTGCTTTTTCTCAGTCTGCAAATTGCCTCTTAGAAAAGCCTGAGAATTCACACAGGACATGAGAAAAATTGCCCCTTGACCAGGAGTCCCTTTTCTAATGGTGTGTTTCTGACTCGCCACTCTAGTCCTAATAGGCAGCCTTTTGTGCTCTTTGGTAATCACTCCACACGAGAAAACCTGAATGCTGGCAGCTTTAACTTCCCTTCAGAAGGGCACCTGGTACGCAGCACTGGCCCTGGTGGGAGCTTTGCCAAACACATGGTGAGTGGCTGGACTGCTCGGTGCTTTATTATAAAATGGGGGAGGGGAAGCTGACCAAAAGGAACCATTTCCAGTTAGCGTGCAGATTTAACCCTGAATTTGAAGTTATTTAGAAGTGGGGAAAGAAAGTGATTGGAAGTTTAACTAACTGCATGCATTTTTTTTTTTTTATCGGTACTAGGTATAATTTGAGAATACCTTTTTTTTTAAGATATTTGAAGGAGAAAGGGGAATGAGAACCAACTTTTGCAACCTGAATTCAGGTTGTCAGAGTAGTACAAAAAAATCTGTACGCTGACTAGGAGGGCACTCTGGTGGCCTAGTGGAAAGAGGATGTGCTGCAATCCTGAACGCACACAGTTCAAGGTCCCCAGCTGCTCCATGGGAGAAGGATGGGCACTCTTCTGTACGATAACTGCCTCTGAAACCTGCTAGTTGGTCAGCTGTGCGTCAGTTTCAAATCTGGTACACAACAACCACCCCCACTTGAAAATAGTCATTACAAACTTAAGTATTTTATGTCCTAAATGTAAATACTTGAGAACATAAACATAGATCATTATATCTTAAAATTTTTTTCATCTTTTATTTCTATGAACTTTTCACTTCAAATTAAAATATATTAGTGTGGTGTTTTGTTTGTGGGATTTTTTTTTTGTTATTTTGCATAGAGAGAACTTAAATTCTCTTAAGAGTACCAGAGAAGAGATTTTTTGCACTTGATGATTTTGTCAACTTCTTTCTTGTGAAGAAAACGAATATTAGAAGAGTCTGTGCTGTTTTATTGGAATTTTAAGTTTTCATAAATTTTCTAACAGTCAAGAAGCTAGAGAGGTAGACACTATTATTTTTTTCCATTTGAATTTGGAAAACATTTGACCCAAAGCATTTATTTTCATATCTCTGAACTGAGCCCCCGGATCTCTGTCCAGGCTAGTGAGGGAAGACTACCCGGATATGTATGCTGCCAGAATCTTGCTGCCCTACTCAGGAAAGGGTTGAGCCACATTTAACCCCAGGAGCACTTGTGGAATATGTAGGAAATGACACAACCTCTTTGCATCAAATTACATGCTGGTCGAAGAGAAACTAGGGCAGGATTTGCCCAGGTAATAAAGTCCAGAGGACAGGAAGGAAATGATACGTAGAAGGAGGAAGTGGGAAGAGTGTGGTTACATTGCACATATGGTCATTAATGCCTAAGACAAAATATATGGGAGTGGTTGAATGGAAAATCAATTTGTTTTGTAAATGGTCAAATCACAATATAAAGAAAAAACCTCTAGAGTATCTGACTGCTACTTTTGGAGAGATGAAGTAAACAAATTTTCCCTATTCTTCTATTCTTTACACTAAATACATCTAAAAACCCTGGACATTGTATGTAACACAAACAGCCTCTGAAACTTGGAGAGAAGGTACAGACTGACTAAGACCACCAGGACCAGAGGAGCAAGATGATAGTGAGCTCCCCCTGTGTCCCATGGAGAAGCCAGCAGCCCAGAAATGCCATTGTGAATGAATGGGGGGTTTTAAAGGTGTCTCAGCACAAAGCAGGTTCCTGTGAGGCCAGAGATAAAGATCACCCGGACTGCTGTACTTACTGCTCCATCATCTCTGAGAGCAGTTCCTCCCTCTCCTCCCCTCAGCACCCTTCCTCCCATCTTGGGATTTCATCTTTCACTGTAGTGTCTCTCAGAACTTACTAACCATCAAATAGCTAACAAATCCCAAATCTACGTGTGAGAGATCAGACTGGAGGCTTCACCTGACTCATGTAATTACAGGGACCTGCACACCCAAATCTATAGGTCAGATAACAGGCTCATACGCTGCAGAAGCTGGTGAACTAAGTCACATAATGGGTTGCTGGGTCAAAAACCAAAGGTCAGATAATGATGAGCTGGATGTAGGATCCAGAGCAAGAGAGAGAATTTTGCCAGAGCATTTGTATTCATCAATGTATCTATCAAGCTATCATATATATATATATACACATACACACATATATAATCATTTGGAAGCAGAAGTGGCATCCACTTCCTAAACAATATGTGTCTGGAAACTCTATGAACTTTGATAAATGACGATAGTTAATAGAAAGGCTTCAGGCCTTTTGTTCATAGCGCTGCTGAGTTGTGCTCAACTTAGCGTCAATCAACAACAACATATATACCATACCCTCAAGGAAACAACCCTTATTTAAGCAAGGCAGTACATGAGATTTACAGCCTCTGAAAACCCAGTGGAGGATCAGCTATGAGTCATTTCCAGCTTGATAGCAACGAATTACTTGTTGAAAGAGAAGAACTGTTAATGTAGAATTCCATATCCAGTGAAAACATCCTTCAGGAATGAAGGGGAAACCAAGAGAATTTGTTGTCAGTAGACCTATCCTAAAAAAGACCAGTGGTCTAAACAGAAGGAAATGGCAAATCTGAGTACATCAGGAAGAAAGGGAAACAAATTATACAACCAATACCACACTGAACTGTAGACTTGAAAATTATTCATTTTGTATTATGTGAATTTTAATTTTAACTTAAAAAAAATAAAGACACCTAGATTATGAATGGTATGACCAGTTCTAGTTCTTAGGTCTATATGAATGCAATGGCAGTGGACTTTTTATTTATTAATTCAACAATCTATTGACTGTCTACTATATGCCAATCACTATGCTTGGTACAAGGCACTTTGGTGGCCTAGTGGTAAGGAGCTGTGCTTCCAACCCAAAGGCACACAGTTTGAATCCACCAGCTGCTGCACGAGAGAAAAATGAACAGTCTCTTTCTGTGCAATTAACTGCCTCAGAATACCCCCTGAAGGGTCAACTATGAGTCAGTTCCAACTCAACCACATGTAACAACAGTAACAACAGTTTGTTCGGTGCAGGGAATATCTACCCATTGTGTGTGCCTTGCATCACTGAGGATGGTGCTATGAAGTGTCTAGAGCAATAATGTAGCTTGTTCTTGATACAGTTTTCTATTATAATTTGTAAGTGTTACAATTAATTTTATAAGCAATCAGTGACAACTCTGATCCTGGGATTGGACATCCTTGGATTGATTATGACTTTTTATCTTTAGCTCTAATCCTAGATAACATATACATCCTTTCCATTTCTGTGCGATTTGTGAATGATTTACATATTATTAAGTGCTGGGTAACAGCATGCAAGCCCAGGTTATTTGAACAGTTTTGCATAGCATGAACAAATTGTGTTGTCCTGTTATTGTCTAATGTAAATGTCAACACATGGCCTAGTGGCAGTGAAGCTACACTGTAATCCTGAATGCACATGGTTCGAATCCACCAGCTGCTCTCCAGGAGAAGGATGGGCAGTCTCCTCCCATGTAATTAACTGCCTGAAAACCTGCTGGAGGATCAGGTAGGGGTTCTGACTCTATGGTACACAACATCATCAACAACCCAAAGTTATAAAATATTCAAGGAGGATTAAAACGTATACTTTAAAAACAATCAAACACACTGCAATTCCAGAGGCACATGGTTCGAATCCACCAGATGCTCTGCTGGCGAAGGAGGGACAATCTCCTCCTGTACCAGTTAGATCTGATTTGACAGTACACACATAAAAAATTTAAAAAAAAACACACCCAAACCCAAAAAGATTAATTAGGAAAAATCTGGAACTTCAAGAGACGTATTTTAATTGAGAAAATGTATATGTTAATTGATAGAAATGGATATGTAAGTTTTCATTCCGAGTGATGGCAATGGGAGTCCTCGTCCACTGCATCGAGTTAGAGCTTAGTCAGCATAAGCCATTGTTTCAGATCTTCAGCTTGAATTTCACAGTAACACAGAAAAATTCTGCTGTGGCTTCCTTAAGTGACATAGCAGAACAGAGGAGTGAATATTTATGTCACATTTAGCTCCTTTTTATTTATGGTGTTAGTTCACTTTCTGTCCCTGTGGTAGCACTTACTATTTTATGCCTACTAACCTAGCAACTCTAATAAGAAGATGTCACCATTTCAGAGAGGATGGCAGCTCTTCCCACCTCTGTGTAAATGAACAATTAAGCAGGGCAAAAAAGAAGAAAATAAAAACCACCTTCTCTTCTGTAAAGCGCATCTTTCTACCATTTTGCCCAGACTCTGCACTGAATATTAGTGACATTCAAAACCCAAGAAGCTTTCTTCTTTTTGCCTTTTAAGTTGTAAACTCATAAGCATGTGCTGTCAAGCTAAGAAACCAATGACAATTGCAATTGTTTTGTAAAAAGCAGCATACTGTCAGAGAGCATAAAAGAGAAATTTTATTTTTCCTTTTATGCCTTAAAAAAAGGAGGGGAGGAGCACTAGTGGCAAGAAGCTGCATTGTAATCACAGAGGCACAGAGTTTGAATCCACCAGCTGCTCCATAGAAGAAGGATGGGCAATCCCCTTCCGTGTGATTAATTGCCTCTGAAAACTTGCTGGAGGGTTTGGTTTGGAGCTTTGGGTCGTTTTCAGTTTGACAGTACACAACAACAAAAACATGCCTTTAAAAAGAATAAATCATCCATCAACAAACAAATGGATAGAGAAGCTCTATGTTATGTTCACAGAATAGAATACTATGGTGCATTGAAAAACAAGGAACTCATGAAATAGTATACAAAATAAATGACCTCGAGGACATTATGCTGAGTGAAATATCTCAGTCACAAAAGGATAAATATTGCATAGGGCCACTGTTATAAAACCGGACTGACATCGGGGTTGAGGGAAGACGGAGGAGGGATGAATGATGTATACCGCATTGAAACAGATGAAGGAGAGAACTGTTTAAAAGGGATTTATGATTGAGTATTATTGTCATGACAGGAGTCATGACAGGAGAATGAAGGCTGCACAGTGGAGTGGACTTGGGGGGAGGGATTGCCTAACAATGAAAGAGTTTTACTTTTCAAGAAGAGTGAATTAGGGGGACAGGGGTGGGCAGGGAGAAAAGTGCAATAATGAATGAATGGAAACCCTAAGTCTCTGTAAACTTTCATTAAAATGAATTTTAAAAAAAGAATAAATCAGCTGGTAAAATAAAAAGTATTTACATTAACTATATACTTTTTGTTTCTATTGCTGTAAATCATTCTCCAGACCCACCTAATTCCTGCTCCTTTTTCACTCCTTTTCTGATGTCCAGGTGGCACAGTGTGTCTCACCAAAGGGGCCCCTTGCTTGCTCAAGAACATACTTTTTTGGAGCTACTCACACTCCTTACTTGGGTAAGTCCCTGCAAGTCAGATCTCCCGTAAATTAGAAGGTGTTTCATTCATGTTACTGTGCTCAGAAGCTCATGGTTCCCAGTCCATGGGCCTCCCACTTCCTGTATTAGTACACTTGGGTAGTTGAGGTGCCTGACCCTTTTCCCACAAAGCCAATCCATTTAATGTATACAAATGTCAATGTGTATAAGATCCTGTGCTCAGTGTCAGAGGGACAGCAAAGATGATTAAGAGAAGTACTTCATGGTTGCAGGGGCTGTAGGCTGCAGGATAATTTGACTGAGCAAGGTGCTACCTAACTTGTTGTGAGGAAGAATAGGGAAGGACCACGGGAGAGGGCTGCCCAGGGGCTGGGAACATCTGCAGGAATCAGAACTCCATACTGCAGGGCCACCCAGAAAGGCTGAGCTGATCCGGGCTTCTCTCGCTCAGGGAGCCGAAAGCTTCCAGAGAGACACAGAGGAGAACCTCTCGAGTGAACGAGGATCCCAGCACCACTACACCGTCCAGGGGAAGTGAAGTTTTTCTCCTGGGTGTTAGGTGAGCCAGGAAACTCTAGAAGGAAGAAGGACTTCCGTCAGATAGTTAGGAGATGAGGGGAAAGTACTGAACCTGCTATTGTAGTTCTTCTTTTTCAAAAACTATAAACTAAAAATAAAAGCAGAAGCTTTACAGGGATCATATCCACATCCTCTGGTATTTCAGGGTGCTCTTGAGTGGGCTGTGAAAAAGGAAAATGTCAAACCCAAGGATAAAGGCCCAGGAGGCTTCTGGGAGAAGCAGAGTTTCACTGTTGTTTGTGCTTGTATTGTATTTAAAAGAAATAAAAATGTAGTTCTTGACATCTCCTTGTAATTAAGAAGTTCTGACTTTCTTGTGAAATATTCCATGTCCTGTGATTGTCTCATATTCTTTTTAACTTCTTACTGTGTTTTGAGTGAAAGTTTACAGATCAGATTGACCTTCTCTTCAACTCCCTTTGTACATTTTGCTTTATGACATTGGTTGCAATCCCCGTGTTGTCACAGCACTCTTCCACCTCCTCATTGTTCTTCCTTCCATTTATCCTCTGTCCTCGCCCTTCCTAAGATTTATCCCTAGGCAAATGCTGCCTTTTTGATCTTGTGTGGTTGATTGTTCACCTTATAGACCTGTCTCTTTAACTGGAAGTTGAGGCACACAGGGTGAGTTAGTTCCAGGACCAAAGGGTGCTCATCTTACTGGATTTCCAACAGTCTTTATCAGACTAGTAAACCTGACTGTTTAATGATTTGGTATTTTGAGTCGGGTGTGGTGGCGTGCGCCTGTAGTCCCAGCTACTCTGGAGGCTGAAGCTGAAAGATCACTTGATCCAGGAGTTCTGGGCTCTAGTGGGCTGTGCCGATCGGGTGTCTGTACTAAGTTTGGCATCAATATGATGACCTCCTGGGAGCTGGGGCCCACCAGGTTGCCTAAGGAGGGGTGAACCTCCCCAGGTCAGAAACGGAGCAGGTCAGAACTCCCTTGCTGGTCAGTAGCGGCTGTTTTGTTCTGCATTTTTCTCCCGTTTTTCTTAGCACATTCTTAATACGTGGTGTTCTTCTACAGGTGATGACAAGAAGCCGCCCAAGAAAACCGAACAAATGTAAGTCTTCATTTCTCATCTTTTTGCTTCTGGTACCTGGTCTGTGGAGAGTTTGACGGCTACGCCAAAGGCTGAGCCGGTGGTGGGAGTTTGACTCTACCAGTGGCTCTGAGGGAGAAGGATGGGCAGTCTCCTCCCATGTGCTTTCCAGCCTTGGAAATCCAATGGGGTCAGCTATGAGTTGATTGCAGCTGGATGACAGTGAGGTTTGAGAAAGCAGCGATTTTCCAGAAGTTCCCACTGTCATGTTTGGGTTCAGCAGCGGTTTATGAGGTTCACCTGCTTTATGAGGTCTCTAACCTCTGTCAGCTCAGAGTCCAGGCCAGAGGGCCCTGCCAGCTGTGCTGTCCATTCTCTGCAGATCCTCCATTGCATGTAAATGCTGGAACTCTCCTTAATATTTTCTATATAGTCTCTTTTCATTGAGGACTTTCCTTAACAATAGAACATCCTCTAACTCATTGAAAGAGACTGTGTAAAACCTCATCTCATCTAAGGAGTGTTTTCTCTGTATTTGACCCCCAGGTTTAGAGAGCTGATTTGTGGCTCTAAAGTTGGCTGTGCACTCTTCATGTTGACTTCTCTTCCATTACATGCAGCAGGAAACCAGATAGGAAAATTCCACAGAGCACTTTCCCCCAGATTCATGAATATCATACACTTTTATTATTACTTACATAAGAAATACCAGTATCCCAGTATAAAACCAGTCGGGTCAGGTCTAGATGAGTTCTTCCAAATGCCAGCAGAGTTTTTACAAAATAAAAATAAAACCTAAGGAGTTTTTACAAGATAAAGGCTCCCCAAGCTCAATTCCAGAGCTACTAAATCCAGGCTGTCTGGGAATAGGACCCTCATGAGACTATTGGAGGGAAAGAAAAGGCAACTAATATACCAGTAATAATTACACTCTAAAAATGTGAAAATAGAACAGAAATCAGTCGTCATTCCTACCCCATTAGTATCTTAATTCTTTTCTTTTCCCTTTATATATTATGTAGCTGTAAGCCAAGTATGGATAGAGTTTTATTTTGCTTTTGTTTGTTTATTGAGGGTTTTCTTCATTTTAGCAACATGCCATCCATCATCTGTTGGTGGGTTCAGTCTTACTTGATACCTGCTTGTGCCTCCCATGCCAGCTAAGCCACGTTCTTGGAACTTCATTCTGAACCCCACATTTTCCCTTACCTCTTCTTTTTTTAATAAAACTTTTCTACTGATTTGCTTACAAAGTTTGTACACATTGTTTTTCACACTGGCTCTTTCTCGTTTCCTTTGCCCACCCCTCTCTCATTTCTTCAGATTGTGCGACCCTGTGATTACCCCCCTGCCTGTCCTCACCCCTCTGCTCCTGCCCTACCCCGCTTGGATCTTCATATATGTTTTATTAGTTATCATTCTGTTTCTACAATAAGGGAATAAACCTCTCCTTAAGTCAGGCTTTATCAACCCTACCAAGCCCATCAACTTGCCTTTTAGGACATTTTCCTTTTAGTATCAGCCCCATTTGTGCCTTGAGTAAGAAAGCAGTATACAGGAGTGTCTGGGACCATTTCTAGAGACTTGTCGAATCCCAGGGCTGGTAGAACTTGGACCTTACGGAGTCCTAATGAAGGCAACAGCAGTGCTTGCCAGTCAGAGCAGGTCTTTCCTCGCTATGGGTCTTACACCATTAATGCAGACCCCTTTATGTTCCTTAGCTAAGTGTCTTATGGACTGAGGCTTGTCTGAATGTCTGTGTAGGAGAAGGTCAAGAAGAAAGAGCCTTGACCAGTGTTAGTGCTTAGAGAAGTTTTAACCAACCTGAAGGGTAGGGGGAAGGGAGGAGAAGTGTCTTCACAATGTTTGAAGTTGGCCTCTCTTAAGACTAAACCATTCGTGTCCAGAATCTGGAGAATTCTGACACCTGAAATGGCCAGACTTGTCACTGTCCCTGTCACGCCCCTTCTCACAAGGGCTTAACCCATCTGCCCTTGTTAGACCATTAATCTCCAGGATATGTTGTAGATCCCTGCAGTTGTTTCAGTGTGACAGCTTTCTATTTCCTTTTTTTCTTCTACCCAATTCACATCTCAAAATGAAATTGTAAATGTGCAACAAAGAAGAAAAATTAAATTGTGAAAGTGCGGTGCAGAGAACAAGGAGAAAATGGGGATAGTAATGTGATCCTGCACATGAGAAAAGCAACAGGCTGTGAGCAGACCTGAGCTTGGACCTGCCATTGCTTCGCTGTGACCTTGGACAACCTAGACCACCCCCACAGGCCTCAGTCGCTTCATCTGTAAAATGAATGAATTGGACCAGATCATGTCTTTGTTTCCTTCCAGACTTCCAACTCTTATCACCTTCCTTTCCCTGTTAGAAGATTCCCACTGACTTAAAAATAGACTTGTCAGAAGCAGGCACCTCCCGGGCCTAGGACCCCATGAGTGAGCCCCTCTCTCTGTACGCCTAAGTCTCCTTCCCCTAACAGTGTTTCTTAACCCAGGACAACAGTGTCCCTTATCCTCCTTAGGAAACACTTAACAGTATCTCTTTAAGGTTAGTGTTGGTTGTCACAACTGGGAAGCTCTCCTAGAAAGAATGTCGTGGGTGGAGACAAATGATGCTATAATCATGGTGCAGTGCTCAGGACAGCCCCCCACAGCAATGCCAAGGTTGAAAAGCCCCTGCTCTGCCGAAAAGATTTCTGGTGGTCCTTGGTGCCAGTTTTAGCAAAGAAAATCCCTTCATGTGTTGGCCTTAGGAAGTAAGACATCAGAAAAGCAAATTGCGGTTAGGAGGAGGGCGAGAAAAGTCCCTCAGAAACAGTCTCTGGTCTTAAGTCAGTCAAGGTGGCTGCAGCTGGATAATTTGAATTTTAGAGGAACCCACTCTCTCCTGAGCTGGTAAACTCCTGTCACCTGAGGCTCCAGGGCTGTCAGCAGGGCTGGTGAGATACTGGGGAACTGTGGGGTGCTAGCCCTGGAAAAGCTGCAAGCTCTTTTTAAAAAAAAAATGTCAAGCCTGGACAAAGAGGAGTCAGAGAACCCACATGGTTTTCTCCTGTTGGGTTACATACAAAGAAGGAGGGTTGATCTTAGTAGAATTCAAAGGAACTGGCATTTCTTAAGATGGCTTAGTAAGAACAAAGTGCAAATCAGTCAGGGCACATGGCTTTCTTATTACAAGTCAGCAGTTCCCTTTTTATGCCTTCTCTCATTTTGTTTAAAACTCAATGCCTTGAAAAATAGCACTGGAGTGCATGCAGCTTTTGATGAAAGCCTGTGATGCTGTCTTTAACCTGTCTTTTCTGTTTTTGAAGTAGGCTCTTATCCCAGGTCTATGCCGCTGTTGTTGAGGCTGTGTTGGCTGGCATTGCTTGCTATGCTAAAACTTCCAGTCTAACGAAGGTAATTGAAACGCCATGATTTTCTTTCCTGAGTAGTTAAGGTCAAACCTCGTGTCCATCTGTTTATTACCTGGGCACCTTGTGGCCCTCAGTTCTGGGTGAGACTGAGCCCTGGTAGAGTGGGCACCCAGCAGTCTGCCCTGACTGCAGCTGTTGTCTTGTGAACGGCCACTAACCAGCGCTTGCCTGTAAACCTCTGATTATACTAGAGAAAAATCACTCTGTAGAATACTGTTGTGTATAATACATTTATTGAACATGTTCATGAACATTTAAAAATTTTTTAATATATTTTGTTATGTATGAGCTTTAATAAAAATTAGGTAAGTTTATTTTGAGCTGTGTTGCTTGATTTCCTCTAAGTCAATGTTAAAACGAATAAGTAAAAACCAAAGACGAGGAAATCTGACTTGCTTTCCTGGACCGTCCTGCGTGTTCTCACTCTCTGCCCCTTATCTTCTTGCTGTTTTGCGGTTAACGTGCCCTGCTGTGTTGGATTCCTATATCTGACCCAGTAAGGAGAGGAGAAGAGTCGCTCGATGCCTCCCAATGCCAATAGGACCTTTCCTGAAGGAAGCCATTTGACATTGGAAAGGTTGTGTATGACGTAGCTCTCAGAGAGACTGTAGCCATAGTGACCAGCTCCTTACCGTGCCCCCTCCTCATGGAACGCGAATCCCCTGGCACTGGCGTGGGACTGCTCTGCTCTTTAGCTGCTCTGCAGCAGAAAGCATATGTACAGAGTCCTTCAGTGTCAGTACTCACATCTTTGGCTTTTTGTATAACAGATCTTTTTTAATTCTAGCTCTTTAAATATGTTTAGCATCTGGTAGAAACTCTGAGGGCAGTGGTCCCTCCCCCCCCAGGGCGAGGGAAGAGGGGAGGAGAAAGCCTGTAACCCGGACCACTTTTCCAGACCTCATATTCCGATGATGGTGCCTTCGAGGATCCACAGGCACCGGCCCAGCTGGTCACGCCCCTCAGGTGGATCGGGTTCCAGGGGCCACCTGCTTGGAAGAAGTGTTTTCCCTGTGAACCCAGCCTGCAGAAGGCAGGCACCTGCTTCCTCCAGCAGTATACGTGCCCTTAGACTGTTGATGTGTGCAGTGTAGTCGCGTAGAGGGGAGGAGCTCAGTGTTCTCCCCGCCTGATGTTAGAAGGACGCTCTCTCCCTGTGAGTGATGTGTGGATTCTTTTTCCTGCTGTGAAAGCTAATTGCCTCTGTGTTAATGGTTTTACAGGCCAAGGAGGTGGCAGAGCAAACCCTGGGATCTGCATTAGATTCTCATGACTTGGTGCAATTTAAGGCAGCCCTATGGTAGGCAATGGTTGATATTTTCTATAAGGCACCGTTTTAAATGTTTGTTAAAAACTATTTTTAACTTTCTCTCTTATATTTTAAATTCAGTCTTCTATTTGATAAATAATCCAGTAAACTCAATGACTATATGAAGGAAGATCATTCATGACCGGGGCTTTATTTGAGAAACTAAGACACCAAAGATAGAAAAGTGTGAGAAAAGACCTCATACATGTCCTGAGGCTGGATATAGGCTCATTAATACCGGAAACCTGTGATCTCAGAGGTTTTGGAAATTAGAGAAGTGAAGCTGAGGACGTGAGTGGTGAGGATTCTTCTGGGCAGAAACCAAGGCACATGAAGACAGTCACGCTCAGCAGAGGTTTGCCTTGGGTGTCATCTGCCTCTCAGATCTTAGAAACCCAGAGCGCAGCAATGTCACGTGGTCGAGACAGTCTGGGAATCTTGCTTTCTCTCTGTGTGACCTGGGTACCTCAGCAATGTCTCTATCTAGAAAATGGGCTGTACTTTCTTGAGAGTGATGGGGAGTTCAGAGCTGGGCATATAAATACTAACTGTTAATGCAGGAGGGGTCTTCTCTGTTGCCATTGCCAGACTGGTATACTCATTCTCCTCCTTTGTTTGGAGCTTTTCCTGGGCACACTGAGCCCTCCCTTGAAAGGCCTCTTCTCACCCAGGGGCCTCCTGGCCTACATGTGTAACTTTCTACTTAGAGGAAGGAACAAGGAGAAAGCACTAAGCAATGAAGGAGTCTCCCACGGCTAATCTTCCTTCACCCCACAAGGCTTACTTCACAGAGTACCCTCAAACATCATCAGATTAGCAGAATTTTAATGTGGGTCTGACCAGTATTTGGGCAAAAGATTAGAAACTTTTCTCTTACATATTGATGTCAGAAGGGGTTTCTGGTTATTCCTGAGTGTCTTCAAGCTCTGGAACCCTGCTCCTCATTCCACAGCGGTTGACTGTGGATGGCAGAGATGTGAGCTTCTGCCTAAGCCCAGGGCAGGGATGGCAACTTGGCCCAAAGGTGCGGAGTCTGTAGCAGGCGTCAGTCCTCTCACACTCTTCTCTTCTGCTGGCCTAACAGTCAGGCAACCTGAGACTGCACAGAGGCAGGGCCATCCCTGCCGGTGTGTGAGACTCCGGGGAAGGTGACCATAGTCTCTAAGTGAAATCTGTGGACGGCAAGGACTATGCACCCTTAACTGGGGAGGCTGTGAGGGTCCAGAGCAGGTTTGCTGCAGAAGCAAGTGTCTGGGGAGGAGACCAGCCTGGTAGTTAGCAAGAGCATGGATTTTCTTTTTATTTTGTTTTCTTTTTGGTCCCCAGCTCCAAGATGACTTTTCAGATACATGCTGTGAATAATCAGGGAAGGTAAGGCTGTGAGTCATCCTCATTTGGGTAAAATCCTGAGTGCAAAACAAGAGGAGAGGCCACCTTGTACCTGCTGGCCCCATAGTTAACACTTGTCAGTGACATCACTCCAGGCTTAAGCTTGGGTGTGGGCCTGTTACCTGAGAGCCTCTCTCATGGGCACTTCCTACTGAAAGGCAGAGTGGTACACGGTCGGGCCATATTCTTTCCAAGTCCTCTGTATAATGAATTCTGCATATTTTTAACCCCGTGTTTTGGAAATTCCTGAGGGAAATCTGGATCTGTGGGTGGTTAACATTGCCACGGTGAAAGAGAACATCATAAATACCAGTACAGTTACTAACTCTCTCCTATGTCGCCATCTTTTTACTCATCTAGAATTGTACCTCTGGACAATGAAGATAGCTTATACTTTGTGAAGACGGTAAGCAGAGTCATTACAGGTCAGATGGCTGAGAATGGCCTGCATTTGCAGAGAGTGACGCAGAGCAAGGGTGGGTAATGTGGGTCTTGAGCAGCCCAGCCCTTACCTGTGGAAACTGGACCTTCCCAGCCACAGCACTGGTGGATCCTTGTTTTCTAAGGGTGGCCAGGCAAGTGAGGGAGTCAGAGCAGAGCTTCCTAGGTGCTGGGTGCACGCTAATAGGCCTGCGAAGTGGTTTAGAGATACTCCCAGAAATGGTCTCTCAAGACCCCAGATGAGCTGGCAAGACCTAGGGGAGCCAGAATTTCCAGGCTGGTTGCTCCCAATCTCAAGTCAGTGCCTCTGTTTTTACTCCAGTGCATCCTAGCCTGAAAAAGATAGGCAAGCATGGCGTGAAAAGATAGTCAACATCCAGCCAAGGTTCTGAGTGACATGTGTGTGACCATAGGTCACACCTGGACTCTGTTCTGTTGCCACAGCGTGAGCCTTTGTTCTAGTGAGCTTTTGGTTCTAAGGACGTGGTGGGCAAGAGTGCTCAGTGCAAATGAAACCCCACCAGCAACCCCAGCAGAAAATGAGCTCAGAGCTCCTGGCAGTAATGTCAGCTCATCTACAGAGGATGTTAGCACAACACAGGTGGCTTCTTCGGCTTGTAATTGGTGTGTTGGTAATAAGTGAACTGCCTGTATCCATCAACGTTTTCTGTTGATTTTTTTTTTAGAAACAATTTAGTCTTTCTGTGACATCAAGACATTGGGAAATGTATATTGATATTTAAGCCGTGATACTGCATCTCCTTGCTGGATTTTAAACTCCCTGGCTTCCCTCCCTAGACTCTTGTGAGGTGCCCTGGAAGGTGTCTCGCACAGTATTAGGTGATTAGAAAATCTTTAACGGAGCCCCTTACTATTGAGTTAAGGAATTGGTTCATAGCAGCAGATGAAATAGGGAAGAAGAGGGAAGAAGGTGGTGCTTCCTGTCCGCTCATCGAGGTAGAGTGAAGTTCTGCTCCCCCTTGAAGCTCTCCGTACTAGTTCCGCTTTAGTATTTTCTTCCACAATATGTCTTAAAGCAGTATTTTTGTCTTAAAGCAGTATTTTATAATCTACTTGTCTACTGACTTAGGGCCAGCAACTGCTCTGACTCCAGTTTCTCATTTGACACAGGCTTCCATGACCGTCTATGACATTCCTGACTTGCTGGGAGGAAAGGGGTGCTTGGGCTCTGTGGTCTTCTCAGAATCCTTTTTGACATCCCAGATCTTGGTTAGAGAGAAGAGTAAGTACCTGTTGTCTTTGAAAAGCAAAACTTGAACTTCTTTCAAGAGGATAGAGCGGGTGTGAAACAAACTATAAATTAAGACCAGCTATCTGGTAAAAATCTTGTAACTGACAGGTGAAACATATAACATTTATGAGGAGGGTACAAATCCTGATTTGTTAAGAATTCTTAATAATTAAAAAACCCCACAAACCACTATATATATATTTTGTTCCTATGTGCATTTGAGTCACCTGCAACTCATAACGACCCTTTGTACAACAGTTCTGAACCCTGCTCTATCCTGAGCACAACTACTGCCAAACCCAGTCAGAGTCAATCCATCTCATCCAGGGTCTTCCTTTATTGCACACCTGTTACGTTGTAAGGAGAGAAAAATAAAGAATGATAATGTCCGATGCTGATAGAATGGGATGACCTTGATACAGTTTGAAACTTAATATTTTATACATGGACTACAGTGATAAAAATTTAAAAGTAATTCCTAGGACTCTTCTTTTAAATAGGCATTTTGGTTGTGCAAAACAGAAGTTCATCATTTGAGAAACCTTTCTACCCAGTAGAAAGGACCCTGATGAAGAGCTTGGTGGAGAGTAACTGGTATATCTGTTGTCTTCCTGCAGATGGCACTGTTACCCCAGAAAGCAGCTTCGTGGTCCTGACAGCGGCCGTACCCAGATTCTGCTCGTGGCTGGTTTGTATCATTCCTCTGATAGAAGCAGCGTCAGTGGAGAGACTGAGGACTTTTAAGGAAGAGCCTCTCCAGTGGGCCCCTGATGAGATGTCAGACCCCAAACTAGCTATTGTTGCGGAGTAGAAGTTTCGCTTTCAGCTTTTTCTTTACACAAACGGACTTAACTTTCTGATAATCTTGGAAAGGTTTTTAAAGAAAGGAACGAAATTATCTGTCTCCCTGATGAGTTGTGAAAGAAATAAATTAATACCCTGACCTTACAGATGAGTAGACAGGCTTAGCCATTGAACAGGCTGGCCAGGGTCTCACAGATCGTGCGTGAAGGACGTGGTTCCCTTCCCTGGTCAGCTGGCTCCCGCTGAGATTTTACAGCGCTGTCTCTCTACATGAGTAAGAGGCTCGTCTGCTTCAGTGGGACATGTTCTGAAACTGAAGCCTTGAGAAATAGAAAGCTGGATGGCAGTGGGCCGGGGTGGCCTAAATATTTAGGGATGGGGGAGCCTTTGATATAATTTTTAAAATCCTCAAATGCATTGCATTGAGTTGGAACCCACTCACAGCAGACACTCCGCTGAGTTTCCTGGGCTGTGTGTAGACCACACAGGGAGATGACCCACCTTTACAGAGCTGATAGTAGACTCAAACCACCAGAGGACATGACTTTGGGTGCACAGCACAGGACCCTGATAGAGCACCTTTGAGACAGTAAACTGAAAGTTTGCCTGTCTTTTGGATACAGGTAGAAGATAATGAAGTAAAATTGTCTGAGAAAACACAGCAAGCAGTGAAGGTAAGAACCCTTCTTGCTCTTAATGTTAATATAAAATGTAAGTTACTTAGGGGGAAAAATTTTTTTCATCTTCCTACTAATTAAAGGATTTGTGTATCTGTCATCATTTCCTCTTTACACTCTTCCTGGTCCCAATAAAGTTCTAGAAGAAACACTTGGACAAAATTCGAGGGATTTTTTTTTTTTTCATTTATGTCTGTCTATAAAAAAGTTTTTTATAAAACTATAAATTTTGATTTGTTGTTTAAAATCACCTTTGTTGAAAGCAGATCTCAAAGAGAGAAAAATCACTAGGGTAGCAGAGATTAGCGTGGCTGGGTTATAGTAATGGGAAAGGTTCAGTGGGGCTTGAAAAGACAGGGTGATAAGAGATGTAGAGCAATAATAATTATTTCTATAAAATATGTATGTGAATAAGTGTATAAAAACACAAAATATGTGTAGAAAACACTATGTATATGAATGATTATATGCAAACCAATTTAAAAAATAAAAGCATTTAGTAGTGGAATTGCTGGGGCTATATTGTGCCACTGTTGTAGAATGAGGCTGACATCGGGATGGGGGTAAGACTGAGAAAAACTGGATGAAATATGTTTACGGCATTGAAGTCTTTGGGGGAGAGAATATTTTATATTTTAGGGCATTATGTTTATCGTAAGAGTACGGAATGAGGGTTGCAGAGTGGATTATATTTGGGGATTGGGGGATGTGTGTGGGGGATTACGTACCAATGAGGGAGTTTTTCTTTTGCGTTTGAAGGAGAGGAGCAAACGGGTGCTGAGGGGGGTGGGCAGGGAGAGGGGTGCAACAATGAATGAATGGAATTCCAAAATCTCTATAGATGTTCATTGAAATGAAAAATAAAGGGAAAAAAAGAATTCAGCAAAATGAGCGATAAAACCTTACCTCTCAGTAAATAAATAAATAAATAAAAGCAGATCTCAAACTCGCCAAGGCAAAGCTTCAATTCAAGCCCAGGAAAAACTGCCCTCGGCTCTCACAGACAGTGAATATAAACCTCTAGAACCAAGGACTGCAAGTTTCAGGGTGTGGAACCAGAGAGCACTTACAGCCCCTTTCTCAGCACAGGTCAGAGCTGCCAGTGAAACAGCTGGGTGGACATCAAAGACCATGCGAAGTGTGTATCTGAGGCTAACTCAGCAGCTTCTTAGACAGGTAGAATTGAGCAGGAACGTTGAGTGTTTAAGCAAAAGTCACCTCCTCATTTTGTTTTGTTTTTTCAAAAAGGAAGACGGCTGTTTCCTGGGCACTTTCCTGACGGCAGGAGAAGGAGCGTATCTTTATTCCAGCAATCCAAACTCCTGGGCTGAGGAAGGTAAGCAGCTCACACTTCTTGCAGGTACCTCCTTCTTGCAGGTACCAACATAGGTTGTTGTGATTAGTGATACACCTGACTGTTGATGTGAAAGTGCTTTCATAGTGGTTTTTCTCTGATCTTGCCACTTTGCAAATGAGGAAACTTGTGCTTGGAAGGGCTGGCCCCATACTGTGCCTGCCCTTGCCTAAGTCCTGAAGTTAACTCTGTGGACCTGAGCAGAGACCTGAATCAGTTCCCAATAACTGTGTTGCACATACAGCAGCTTAAAAAGCACTCCTTTACTATCTCATAGTCCTGTAACTCAGACCTCCAGGCCGACTTGGCTGTGTTCACCATTCAGAGTGCCACGATGTTGACATTAGGTCTCAGCTCCACTTAGTTCTCCCTGGTGGTTCTAGGGAAGAATCTGTCTCCAGTGGATCCAGGACATGGCAAAATTCAGTTCCTTGGGATTGTAGGACTGAGGTCTCTGTTCTCCTATTTCCTGGGTGCCTCTGGTAGCTCCTCTTCCCAGGGGCCTTTGCCTTTTGGCTCCCTGGAGCTCATCAGTGGAGAAAGCCTTGTTTTGTCAAATTACTGTCACGCTTTGAATCTCCGGCTTCATCTTCTGCTATCACTTGGGGGAATAAACTGTACTTGTGGAGGGATTAGAATAGGCTGACCTAAATAATGTCTCTTTTGCTACATAGTGTAAAACATGTTCACTGGACTAACACCGAAGGTTGGAGGTTAGTAGTGCTGTCTTAAATTCCTGCTGTCCCCACCCCACGATTCATGTCCCTGCTACATGCAAACTACTAGTCACTTTTTCCCCAAGGTTCAAGACAGAGAAACACCTTCCCCCTTATAGACAACATCAGTTGTTTAAATCTCATCAACTAAACACAACACCACACACACAAGTCTTATCTACATCTCAAGCAAATGTAGATAAGGTTCCTGATTGTAATCTATTAAGTACTGTCCCTGAGCACAATTCCATTCACTCTGTAGATCTGCGAAACTGAAGAGATTTGTTTTCTCTCTGCTCCAGATGTGCAAAGATGGGACTGGCATAAGGTAACAGTTACAGACATTCTCATTAAAAAGAAATTAATAAGGGAGAAATGGAAAGTAAAAGGAGTTAACTAAAGGCCCAAAGGAGCTTTGAAACCAGAGTTTCTTAATTCGATGTCCAGAGGTAGGAATAATCATTTCTGGCTTTCAGCTCTCTGTGTACTTGGTTTTGCCTTGTGGCTTGTAGCTCCGGCCTCTGGGCTTTTGGCTATATGGTGCCATTCTTTCCCCCCGCCCCCATGAAAAGCAGCACATTGCAGTTGAGTAGTTTTATATAGCCTGCTTCCTGCCAATAGTATTTACCACCAGCCCAACTCCCACCTATCTGCTTTCCTTCTGAGCTCCTTTAACCCATGGTGGCACTGTTTCTGCTGATATAAAATTCTCAAGACTTTTGTGGGGTTTGCATATTTTCGGGAGGATTCATTCTATGCTCCTCTTTGGCCCCCTGGACATTTCCTGAGGAGCCCTGTCCTTTCCCTGTGGCTATAGCCTTCTTGTGGAGGCGGGGTTCTGGCCTAGTCCACAAATTCTTCAGCCTCTACTAAGCAAATCCTCCTTCTGGAGAAATTGTTTTTCTTGTTGAAAATATTCTGTGGCAAATTCCTCACCCTGCTTTCGGATCACTGGTTCTGCTTCTGCACCTCCATTCACATGGAAAAGAAAGCACAGGGGTGCAGGTTTTGATCCCCCTAAGGCTGGAGAGTGGTTCATCCAGCTCCTGCATTCCTTCCTCCCCAGGTCCCAAAGCAAGAAGACCCAGAAGTTAGGAGCATTTGGTGAAGGCAGAGAGAGGTGGGGCAGAGCTACCAGCCTTGGGCCAAGATAGTTTAGTATCTTAAAAGCAGACTGTAGGCACAACACAGAAGTTGTTGTGTTTTGGTATAGTCGAGCCAGTTATAATATTTAGCAAGGATATTTGCCAAAACTAGTTTGTACCTTCATAGCAAAAGGCCTTATTAGAAAAATAACTGTGTATTGTATTGAGTTATCCGACAAGATTCCCTGTGTCCCAAGGTCTCTGGGCAAGAATAAAGGGCACAGCCAGAGACTTTCAGGAGCCTGGCAGTCACGAGATGTCAAACTTTCTGTGTGTCTGAGAGATTCTGAGACAGGAAAAAGCAATAAAAGCAAAAAATGTACAAAAGCATTCTCCTTGAACTATGTTCACTTTGGGGTTCAGGCCAAGGGTTGATTCTGGTTTTGTGCAGCTTGAAGTTTACACGATGTGGGGAATCATTTAAATAAAAATGACACAACATTGTTAGGACTCTTCTCAGAGCCTTGGAAAGGGACCTGGGCAAGGGAGCAGCCTTTAAGTGTCATTATAAAAAATTGCTTTTAAAAAAAACACAACAACACACCAAATCCCCAGCACCTCCAACATACACAGGCGCGCGCGCGCGCGCGCACACACACACACACACACACACACACACACACACACGTGTAAAAATAAAAATAAAGGAAAACCTACCAGAAGAACTCCCCTTATTGTCATCAAGGTAGAACCAACTTAGATCAGACCCTTATTGAGTTTTTTTTTCTTTTTGTGTTGGTTTTTTTTCCTTATTGAGTTTTCAGGCTGTAAATTGCACAGGAGGAAGTTGTTGATAACCAGACTGCTCCCTAATTATGGTCATCAAGAAAGTGTCTCCAGTGCTCTCCTTAAACTTGGGTTCTCACTCCTGTTAAGTAAGAATAACAAAACAGGAGTTCTGATTTTGCTCTCCAAGCAAAGAAAGGTTTATTAGGGAAGATACTTTACAAAGGGAGACATGGAAGGACAAAGTGACCCAGGGAACAGAGGATGAAGTTGTCAGGACCACAGAGCTGCTCTCCCTCTCTTTCCCCAGAACAGCCGCAGAAATGATCAGAGCAGCAGCTGCAGCTCTGTTCATCTCTGTTAGAGCTACAAAACCATTCCACCGCCCTTTCCCAGGAAGAACTATCCACGACCCCGACCTGCTCCTTTATCTTGTACCAAGCAGCTGTGAACATCCTAACTCCCAATTTCTTTGTAAGACAATATAAAACTCCACTCTAAGTAGCTACTGGTCTCTACTTTAGAGCCAGCCTGGCAATTTCTCCCCAATAAACTGTCTTTCTTGGCCTGAACTGGATTCTGTCCTTCTTCAGAGACCTTACAGAGAAGTGATTCCTTTTAAGGCTCTGGAGGTGGGGGAAAAGGTGTCATGTTTATTAATGAAGAAGGTAGGGTTTTAAGAGTTAATCTATCAAAAGGAAAAGATCCTCATGTATATTCATAAACGGAAGAGGAGAAAATTATCTGGGATTGACTCTCTTCTTGGGAAGGATTAAGTCAATTAAGATGCAATTGTTCTTTCAAGATGTCTGCCACAGAAAGAACTTTCTAGGTCTTGTGGGGAACGTGTGCAGATGTTCAAGATGGGTGCAGGTATTCATGATTCAGCAAAGTTTAGAATCGTGGGCATTTGAGCACTGAACACTGACGACCAAAGATCAGAGGGGTTGTGGGATGGCCTGAAGGACATCATCCATGAAGAAAGTAAAAGGTCATGACAAAGACAGGGAAGAAAGGAAAAACAGACGTGGATGTCAAGGAGAGTGTGAGACTTGTACTCAGCAAAAAGGAGTAAAGGCAAAGGGAAAGACTGCCGAGATTAGAAAACTAAACAGATGATTTCAAAGGCTAGGGGTTAGAAAAGATAAAGGGAAGGTGCTTAGCATTTCTCCGTCTAAAAGAACTAAAGAACGAATTTAACCCTCACGTTGAAATATTAAAGGATTCAGAATAATGCAGAAAGCCTCCCTTCCTGTTCGTACATCTGAGATAGGTCCGTCAGAAACAAAAAAAACATGCTTCAGCTCCTAGGTAATTCTAGAGAACTAGCTTCCTCTGACGCCCAGTGTTCAGAATTACCGACTGGAGAAGGCAGCGTAGAGCTTACCCACTAAGAACACCAGGGTCCACCAGGGTGTTGGGAGGCAGCAGCGGAAGAACTGCTGGGAGAAACGACATGCCTTTTGATGTGGAGAGACACGCTGTCACATTGAACAGAAAGTGAAGTGAAGAAAGGGACAGTAGGACTGAGTCATAGTAAAGTGCCTTTGACATCAGACCTTTCTGAGTCCTATGCCTGGCTTCTCCAGGATACCTTTCTAAGTGTCAATTTCCTCAATAGTTCTCTAAGAATAATAAGACCCAGCACTTCGAATGGTTGTGAGGTTGGAAAACTATGTGAGACATGATTGTTGTTGTTAAGTGCCATCAAGTTTTAGGCGACTCATAGCGACCCTATGAATGAAAGTCCTCGACATTTGTGTGACTTTCATAGGGTTTCCAGAGGCAAGCTATTTACAGAGGTGGATGCTTGTTTTAACCGGGGAGTGCTGCCAAACACTGTCCACCATGGGTAACCATTATCGCATTTGACACATCAGTGTCACGGTGTTCAGCTTCACAGCGACCACAGGTTACTTCTGTATGATTAGTAATTACAGAGGAAGCTCTGTTCTCATGTCCTTGACAGAGCAGAGCTTATAGTGTCCCAGGGATACACACTGGACGTTATGATAAGAAAATCAGACAATTCTGATCAGTAAAGGAGAATGGGAACCTCAAGTTTCAAAAGTTCATTGACTTCAGAGGATACTGACTTCCCAGAGTTCAGGACCCAATATAGACAATTTAAATGCCACAGAATCCTTTACCCTTTGGATTCTCCTTCCGGCATGCCCTGGTACCTGCAGGAAGGGCACTGGGATCTGACCCCAGGATCTAGCCCTCCCTTCTGACCAGCTTTCTTTGCTTTTCAGGGAAAGTGCATTTCTTCTCAGGTGGACTTCTGTTTTCTCACCGTCACCATGGAAGTATCATCATTTCTAAGGATCATGTGAATTCCATTTCGTTCTATGATGGGGTAAGTGTTTTACCAGTCTGTGGCTTTGGTGTTCAGAAACACACTCATATTTCCGACGGGGAGGGAAACAAGATAATTTCTCATATGACCACCACCATCGCAGGGCAGGATGTGAGGAACCAGCACTGCCTCGGGAGGGAGGTTGTATGCAGGCCCAAGCATTCTCAGCCTTGTCAACCTCACTGCTCTGCCAGTGGCTTAACTTGAGAGCGTCTCTGGGCTTAATTCACTTAAAGGGCACTAGGAAGAAGGCCTCCAGCCAGAGGACACAAAACCCCACCCACGTAAGAGCTAAAAAGAAGCTGTTTTGATCCATTGAAAGAATTACAAGGGAGCTAAAGAGGAAGAAAAATGGCTAATTTTTCACTGGGAGCTTAGCTCCACCTCCTGCACAGACCTGTCTTTAACCTTCAGCTTTATTCCCCAGAATCCTTTATGTTGTTGTTTTTTAAAAATGGGGGGTGTGTGTGTGTGTGTGTGTGTGTGTGTGTGTGTGTTGTCTAATCAGATCTGGCTGGTACAGGAAGAGATTGCCCCTCCTTCTCCAGCAGAGCATCTGGTGGATTCAAATCTCATACCTCTGGGATTGCAGAGCAGCTTCTTGCCACTAGGCCCCCAGAGCTCCCTCAGAATACTCCTTTAATTTCACCAGTCTGTACCTGCACCTCCGCTTTTGGGAGGACAGCAGATATATACCCAGGGCGAGGGCCCAGCATGTCTCGGTGGACCCAAGAACAGGGGGAAGCTCTTCATTCTGCTAGTCTCGGTCTCCTAATCAACCTGTTTGTGATCCGGGTATAATCTCAGTTGGGTTGTATAGTCAGATGGCTCAGAAACAAATTCTGTGAGTCAGTCTTTCTTCCCCTTAGAGCCTGCTACCTTAAAGACTATTCAAAAAGCAGGCTGACCAACTAACAGTTTGGTTAGCACTGTGAGATCAGAGTCTTTATAATAGGATAGAGTCTTCCAAACATCAGGAGATAAAGGACAGATCATTTAAGACTGTTCTTGTTTTGTGCCATGAAGTTGACTCTGACATTTGTAGGATGGAGTCCCATTGTCTCATCCGTTTCTTAGGCTGCAATCCTTGTGGGAGCAGATAATCAGGTCTTCTGAGAGGAGCCACTGATGAGTTCAAACAGTGGACCTTTCAGTTAGCAGATCAGCATGTACCCAGAGTGCTGGTGGCACAGTTTGTAAGCATTTGTGCTGCTAATCTCAGCCGGCACCTTTCTGGCCATTCAAATCCACCGGCTGCTCTGCAGGAGAAAGGCAGCCGGTCTCCTCCCATGCTGTTTACAGCCTCCAGGAGGCTGCAGTGAGGGCCAGTGAGAGAGAATGATCCTTTGTTAAATAGGTTCACTAACTAGGAGGAGAGGAGGTGGACCTAGATTCTTACCTCGTGTCATAAATACACATAGACTTCTGAAGGATTAAAACTGAGTCTTTTCCCTATTCTGTGACTGAATGTTTTCAGTTAGATCTGTAAACTTTAACCAAAAGAAGAGATAAGAAGTTATTACAAGTTACTCCTTATTTTAGCCTTAGTTTCTTCCCTAAATGTTAAATCTTATTTCCCAGCTCTAAATAAACCATTCTGTGCTCTTTCTGTTTTAATTTTTTTTTTAAAAAGCCAGACATAGTCTTTTCAAAATGCTCACCATAGAAGAAGTAAAAGTTATGATTATACTTATAGAGACAAAGAATTAAGCTGAGAAATGATGAAAGAAATTCTAAAGGAAAAGTTCACCAAATGTGACTAATTCATAAGTCATTTTATTTTTGCTGAACTTTTGCTTTCTAAAACTACCATTTAAATGCAACAAACAATGTTCCTCTAAAGACTGACCCAGCTGCTCCACAGGAAAAAGATGGGCAATCTCCGACTGTGCAATTTACAGCCTCTGAAAACCGACTGGAGGGTCAACTCTGAGTTGGTTCTAACTCCATGGTACATAACAATAACAGATCACATGGGGGGAGATTGTCCCATCTTTCTTCGAAGGAGCAGCTGATAGATTTGAACCACTTGCCTTTGGGTTGGCAGCATAACTCCTTACCACTAAACCACCAGCGCTCCCTCCTAGGTTATTTAAACTTGACTTCCCCCTGGCATGGGTGTTGAAGGTGGACCAGCAGGTCCTTCACAGCCCTCCCACAAGGAAATGAGTAAGTGGGCACACAGAGTTTAAGGTCTTGTCGCACAGGGAAAAATGGCACAAGCCTTCCAGGGTAGATGGGAGCAGAGCACTTCTGGCCTTTGATTTTCCCAGGGCTTCTCGGCTTCTGCTGCATTCTGTATTCTGGCTTTCCCAATGCATGTCCACCTGGTGGCTTCACCTGCCTGGTACTCAGACGGGCTCTAGCTCTCTGAGGAGGCAGCCTTCCTACGTATGGAATGGGAGAGGCTGAAATTGTCTGGAAGCGAGGGTTCATCAACCTGTGGCACTCCAGCCCTCTAGAAGACACAACAGTGAGGGGCAGAGGAATCTTTATTGTCATCTTCATTGCAGATGAAAGCATAGATTTACCCAACAGTTCTGCAGGACATAGATGTGTTCTGATCAAGGTGCCTGGCTCCCTGCTGGCCTGGCTTTACATTGATGATTAACTATTTCTAACATCTGGAATAGTGACTGGCCACAGTTACCCTCAGGGAGTACTGGTGGTGTAATTCATAGTGAATCGCACCGCTAAACCAAAGGCCACATGTCTCCAGTGGTTCAGATCCCACCAGCAGCTTCCAGGGAGAAAGATAGGAGATGAATAGTAGAATTCTAAATGCCTCTTTTTCAGAGAAAGGCAGATAATGGTCATCCCATTAAATACAAATCTTTCCTTGATAGTCATGAGTTCAAGTCTTTGCTGAACTCTCACCTTTTTCTCAGCAAGGATACCACCTAACAACAACAACCTTGGCCACCCCTCTAATGCTGTAACCCTCCCGCCCCCCAGTACTTCCATTTTCTCTTATGCCTACCTGCCTTCTCTTCTCTTTTCAGAGCACTTACCATCTTCTAACATAACACATAATTCAGTCATTTGTTAAGTTGATTGATTTTTGCCTTTGCCCCTTCGCACCCACCCACCCACTCCCTCACTCCCTCACTCCCCCACCCACCCACTACTACTCCCAAAAGAATAGAGATCTCTATCTGTTTTGGTTAGTGCTGAATCCTGAGCTTCTAAAATAGTAGTCCGAGTCATTGCCATCAAGCTGCAACCAACCCATAGCTGTACTGTAAGTGGGTTTTCAAGGCCGTAAATCACATGAGAGGCATCTGTCCGTCTTTCTCCTGTGGAGCTGCTGGTGGATTCGAATCACCAGAGAGACTTGATTGTTGGATTAATAGAGCGACTTCCTAGAGAAGCTTCCCTAGAGCTTTCTTAGAGCATCTAAAACAGAGGTTGGCCTATAAAAAGCACGGTGGATCAATATTTGTTGAATAAATGAAGGAGCAAAGACATTTGTAACCTCCAGTTATTGCTAAACAGATTAGTAAATAACTGTGTAGGGTAGTAACTGACTATCTTATCTTTGACACAACCATATAAGAAGCACTCTTTAAGCCCTGAGGGAGCTCTGGTGGCCTAGTGATATGAAGCTGCACTGAAGTCTCAAAGGCACATGGTTCAAATCCTCCATCTGCTGGGAGAAGGATGGACAGTCTCCTCCTGTGCAATTTACTGCCTCTGAAAACCCTCTAATGAGTCAGCTGTGGGTCGGTTTCAACTCCACGGCTCACGACAACATTAAGTAATGGCTGAGTGAATTAATAACTCAGAAAGTTAAAGGGTATTTTCAGCAATGTTGACTGAACCCAAGTGTAAGTGGAATTTCATTGCCCTAGAAGGAATTTGAAGATGATACCTTCAGTTTAGGAAAAAAGAATTTTATGCTTCCAGTATTTTTGAAAACCGGGTATTTGAGAATACTTTCTGTTGTTGAATCTTAGAAACCCACATCCCATGAAAATAAATGTGCTATTGTTGTAAGGGCTGACAGTGTGGAAATGACTTTCTCACTCTTTCTCTTTAGGACTCCACCAGTGTTGTTGCTGCCCTTCTTATAGACTTCAAAAGCTCGCTGCTGTCTCATCTTCCAGTGCATTTTCACGGATCAAGCAATTTTCTGATGCTTGCCCTTTTCCCCAGATCGAAGATATACCAAACATTTTACTCAGAGGTATTCAGCAAAACAACTACCATGTGTCTTCTCCCCCTGTTAATGTAGATGGTGGGGTAGTGTCTCAGGGAAGCAGAAAAGTGAGGGGTGAGGTAGGAAGGTCAATGCGGAAGGTAACTGCTTCTAATCCAGTCAGGTCCTAGAACTGTGTTCTTGTCAGGGAGAGGTGAGAGCCGGAAGGAACTGAGTAAAAGGCGTTTTATCAGCTAAGAAAATTTGCCTTTATCCCCTTTAAGTCCTAATTAGACTAATTAGACTGCTCGCAGCTTTATTGAATTGTTGAACCCTTCCCACTGGAGCAGGCTTTCTGGCCTACCCCACATCCTCCTTTCCCTGTGGTTCACCCCCGCCCTCAAGGATGGTTCCACCTGGCAAATTGCCCTAATAGGCATTCAGCAGAGTTTTACCTGAGTTGAGTAACTTACCAAGAGATCAAGCAGTAGCCAGACTTAAAAGGGTGACCAGACTGGTGGAAAAGCCTGGGATGGTATGATCACCAGAGGTTAGGAGGGGACAGTGACCCTCCCGCAGAACAGATTCTCAGGGAGGAGACAAGAGCTGTCCTGGCTGCAGAACGACTTCTTAGCCTGATCTCTGCCTTCCTCGCCTTCCTGCCTGCTGGTCCTTCTTTCCTTCCCGATGTTGCCTTTCAGACTGGGAACCTAAATAACAAGCCTTTCAAGTCTTTCCAGCCCTTCTCTGGTGGCGGGTGGTGTTTGAACCATTCCTGTCTATCTAGCCCAATAACCAGTGTAGGAAACTCCCCCATGACCAGAGCATTGTTACCTGACATCTTCCTCTCTGTCTCCTGACCTCTCCCGGAGCAGAATCCCTGGGGAGGGAACCCAGAAAGAAATTCTCATTTGGAAAAATGCAGAACAAAACACCCCTGGTTTCAAAGCAAACTTATTTGTTAAAATGTTTTCCTCAGCGCTGACAGACTAGATTTTCAACAGCCATCAAATCCCCATGTGGGTTCCATATCCTGTTGTTGGGTTTAAAGTGTTCTTTGCTTAAATTCTGCTTTGTTTAGGTCTTCTCCCCCTGGCAACAGCAGGCTAACTTAGGACTCTGTTTAAAAGTGATCCAGGAAGATGGATTATCTGTGGAACAAAGGAGATTGTGAGTGGCTGCCTCTAGTGTTTATGCTTGCTTCCCTGAGCTTTGCGCGCGCTCTCCCTGCAGGATGACTTGTGTTATGTAACATGGGGATTTGGCTCCTAAAAGGGCCAACACAGTCATTTCATGGCTGCCAGTTTGCAGGTAGCCAGTGCCCTTAGCAAAGCAGAAGGCAAGAGAGACAAAAATCAACCAAGAATCGGCAACCCGTAGTGTTGCTGAGAGGCTTCTGGCCGGCCTTCCTATGTGAGCACATCTCAGCTGGCATGGCAGCAGGCCTCAGCCACGACCCCTCATGATGCCAGAGAGGGGCACAGGAAATACTTTATACTCGAGAGATAATTAGCCCCCAAGGCCTCATGTATTAACACCCCATTTTGTTGAAGTTGATGAGATGCTATTTTTTTTGGAAGACTTCACCTTCTCACAGGACTCTAATTTGAAAGCATCAGAAGTAGAAGATGCATAAAGTGTGTGCTGGAGGGAGATCACATTCTAATTGGAATTTGTGGTATTGCAGACACTGCAGTGCCCAGAAGCTCTTCAGTGCCCTGGGCCATCCTGCCGGGGAGAAATGGAGCCCCCTGAAGCTGCTCTCAGCCAGACTCCCGGAGCTGGACTGGTGAGCCCTACCTTTCTGTTTTCAGATGAGATCTTAAATGTCAGAAACCTCAATGTTGCACCATCTTAAAGTCCTCTTTCTTTTAGAGCTTTTCGAGGCTCATTGTAAAAGAAGTAGCGACACACCATGCAAAAAAAGTTGTTCTCCAGAGAGCATCAAAGGTTTCTTCTTCAGCAATTAAGGAAGAACTTTCTCATGTGAATGGGCACATTCGGGCGAGGCTGCTGGAGGTAACGTAATAGCATGGTCTTTGTTTTTCCAGGTTCCTCCAACATTTCGAAGTCAGCAGCGTTAGTTGGGAGCCCGTGATGAGGGCTCATCTTCCTGTCCTGCTGCAGCAAGCTGAAGTCAGCCCTCCTGTCAAGGTGGAAAAAGACAAGGTAGAGGAGCTCCCCAGATGTCCTGGGAATTCACGGGGAGATAATCCTGAGAGCCTGACCTTGGAGTTTTTGTGTCCCTCAACAAAAGGAACCCAAGTGGAGCGCCCTTCTAAGACCCTCCACCTCCCTGGATACAGATATACTGCCACACAGGAAACCCGCTGTGGACAATGAGTGTGTACAGGCATCTGCACTCACCCGACCCAGCCCACGGCAGTGATACAACCTTGGCACCATGCCCTCCTCTCCCCTTGCTTTTACAGGCTTTTTTTTAAAAAAACCTCTTGCTCAGGTCTCATGCCATTAGTTTGTTCTGGTGTCAAGGCCTTACCTGGCTGTGGTTGACACCTTGTGCTTAATCAGGGGGAGGGAACCTGTGTTATGTGGGCCATCTCCAGGATCAGGTGATTCTCTTCCCAAGAGTGGACATGAATCTGCTCCCACTTCACACTTCCTCCTCTTTGACCAGCCCCCACCTGCCACCAGAGAAGGTGTTTATTTTTGTACAGTCTTGAAGACAGCTGTAAAAGGCAGTAGACACACTAAGCTATTAGGAGTATCGTTTTTCCCTTATGCCAGAGTTCTTACTGCCTGAAAATGCTTGTTTCTTTTGTTTTTCTAAAAAACATACTAAGGACTCCTCTTTAAAAGAAGACCTCTCTCTGTCTGGTTGTAAACATGTGTACAGAGGTGTCAGGGGCTGAACCCTTAGGCTGAGAAATGAGGCCATTTCAGAGGAGAATAAACCAAGTCAGTTACATGGAATATGCCCAAAGGGACAAAAAAGTGAGGATGAGAAGTTTCTAGTTCCCAAAGTAGAGGCATCTCTGGCTATCTTTGAGCTGAAGTTACCAGCTCAGATGTTAAGCCACCAAGCTTAGTTTTATCATAAGCTATCTGTGACTGGAGCTGTCCCAGAGAGACTAGTATTTTACACATTAAAGCACATATGTGAAGGTTTTGGCCACACTGTCACTCGCAGAGACATCCTTTGGTGGTTGTGATTTTTTTTCTTCTTTTTCCCTTCTCCTCTGATGTTCCCCTCCATCAATCTCTTCCAGTTGCTTTGATATTATCTACCTGTAGAGTGTCCTGTTTTCATGTGCTCATGCTGTACGGTCAGGGCAGTCCATTGGCTCCTTTCTCCAGAATCAGGAGTGTCCCCACACCTTGTGTCAGGGCTCCGCCAGGCCATGTGGCTTGAAGGGTGCAGGCAGCCAGACAGAAGCGGCTCTTGCACCTGTTTTGCCTCAGAAATTTTTGTGCCAGACCTCCTTCCTGCCCAGTACTTTCTTAGTGTTACTGTTCAAAATAAATTTAATTGTCCCTGGGTGTCTGCTTCAGAAATGACAGTCAAGTCCATGAATGTATTTTATTTCGACTGATCTGTTCATAACCTGCTGAAAACCAGCTCCATAGAAATTCTAACAGTAACACTACATGTTATGTAGTGTTCACTGTGTACCACTCTTCTAAGCACTTTACGTTTATCTAGCCGGCTGATCCTCATATCCACCTACAAGCTGGGTGCTGTCATCAGCCCATGATCACATAACTAATACATGAGACTGTTCTGAGGTTTGAATCTATAGTGCCTAGATCCAGAGTCCGTTCTCTTAGCTCTTACGTAGTGCTGCCTCTCGGTTGAATTGTAAATCCACGTGCCTTCTTTTCCGTATAGGTCATTATCAGCATCATAACTGGCCTCCCAGGCTGTCATGCTAGTGAGCTCTGTGCTTTTCTGGTCACACTGCATAAGGAATATGGCAGGTTAGTATGCTGTTGCCTTTGCTTAGGGAGGGGGATTCTGGGCCTGGGCCTAAGACTGGAAAGTCAGAGCCGTGGATGTGTTCCCTCACTATTAAAAGACAGTGTTCTCATGAAACCTTTTTGTGGGCTGAAATGGCAGAAAGCAAAAAAGCAGCAGCAAAGAAGTGGAAAAATTTTTGGGTGTTCCCAGACCCATAGCAACAGGTAAAAATCTAAATAACACTAACCTGGAGTGTTAATAGACGGTTCAAAGCTACAGTTGCTTGATATTAAGGTGCTGTGTGTGGTGTGGTTCCCAGGGAAGGAGCTTGGCCACGCCACTCTTGCTACTCCAGTGTATGCTGCCTCTTCACTGTCTAGCTCTAAAATGTTCAACATTAGGAAGTGAAAGTCCTCTTCAGATTTCTTTGATTTATCAAAAACAGGTACTAATGTAGATCTTTCCTAAAATGAAAGTACCACAGAGTAGGCTTTTGAAAAGTTACAGCTGGTTACCTGTAATGACGTTGGACGTAATCGTCTCAGCACAAGAGTTATCCATCCAATTCGTGTGACACGTTTGCACAGAGCATTGTCTGCGCGGGTCAGCTACTGAGCTGAGTGGGGGGATTCACCAGTGGATAAAAAACCTCTCTGCCCTCCTGCAGCTTACATTTGTTCTAGTGTGGGAAGACACACAGTTAACCAGATAAGCAAAATGCAATGTATTAGCTGGTGAAAAGTGCCAGAAAGAACACAAAACAAGGAAGAATGAAGGAAATGCTGTGAGATGAGACCATTTTAAAATTACGCATTCAGGGAAGACCCCAAGATGATGGCGTTTGAGCAGTTAGCTAGGAAATAAAGGAGCTGGTTGTTGGAGTAGGGGGAGAAGAATTTTAACAGTAGGGCCAGCAAGTGCAAAAGCATGTGTGTGTGTTGATTTGTGCACATTTGGGGAAAAAAATCATCTACTCCTTTCATCTGACTGAGAGATTACTAAAAAAAAAACCCTTGCTAGCTAAACCAGCATTTAACACGTAGTTAGTGCACACTCCAAGGAGCCGTAGAGGGATTGGGAAGGATGAGGTTGCCTAGAGGACTGGAAGTTTTGCATGGAAGATTGGAGTCATGGATGAGTTTTGGAGAGATGCTTGGGAATTAGCAGACCTCTGTACTTAGTGAGTATGTACGGCCAGTTCTTCATTTCCAGTGCTTTTTGTTCCATCTAGTAGTAGATTCCAGTGTATAGTAGCCTCGTGGGAGAGTCCTGCTCTCCTTTGAATCTGTTTGCGGGAATTGGCTGAGCCTACAGGGCCGGGTCATCAGCTGACCCTCTTCTGAGAGGACATTTGCCGTTTGCAGGTGGATGGTTTACCGCCAGCTCATGGACAGCTCCGAGTGCTTCCACGCTGCCCACTTCCAGAGATTCCTTTCCAGCGCTGTGGAGGCCCAGCAAAACCGTTCTGCTCGCCAGGCAGCCTACACCCGCAAGAAGTCCAGACTGCTGGTGGTGTTGCAAGGGTGAGTGTTGAAACTGTGCGGGGACAGTGAGGTGCGAGTGGTGGCTCTGCCTTTACTGAATCTTCATGGTAGTAAAGCCAAGGCCCAGATACTCAGGAGCGCGAGAGAGTCTATGCCCAGCAGGGAAACCCTAATAAAGCAGACTTCCTCGTGCCGTCTCTGAACTGATTAGTGTCTTGAAGTGGTAGTGGAATATGCACAAGTGATAAAATTGTGTTGCACTCAGTACACGCACAGACAGAAATCCACATAAGAGTACATGTATGTAAAACTGGAAAAAGCAGAATTTTTTTATTATTACTATTGTGTGTGTGTGTGTGTGTGTGTGTGTGTGTGTGTGTGTGTGTGTTTATCTGTGTACCATCAAATCAGATCTGACAGGTACAGGAGGGGATTGTTCCTCCTTCTCCAGCAGAGCATCTGGTGGATTCGAACTGTGTACCTCTGGGATTGCAGTTCAGCTTCTTGCCACCAGAGTTTGCCAGAAAGTGGAATTTTAAAAAATTAATTTTAAAAAATTGTTTGGGGCCAAGTAGGGCGAGCTGATACCTGGAGTTCCCCATGTGTCAGAGTCTCTCAGAGGCAATGCGTTCGGATGTTTTTAAAAATTTATTTGCACCCTGGAATGTTGTGAGAATAGTCTTTAAAATTATCTACAAATAAAAGCTAGGTACCTCTCAAGACTAAATTAATGTCAAGCATGTGCCTAATCCAACAGTAGTCTTAAATTGCAAACATAACATGGCCCAAGGGAGACATGAATGGAATATCTGTTGTTTCAAGAGGAAGAATGTTAATGTCCTGCTGAGTTTTTGTTTTGTTTTTATCTTTAATAAAGAATACTGGCAAGAAAAGGCAAACGAGAAGTCAGTTCTCTGCCTTCATCACTCATTTGGAATAGGCTAACCAGAGTGGCCTAAAACTAGCTTTGTCACCCAGAGACCAGGGCACTCCTTCTGCCTGGAGACAGTTGCGTGTGGTGATAGTGACAGTGGCAGAGGTTGGTGAAGGAGGCCAGATAATGCAGGGCGTCCTTCCTTAGTTTCTTCAGATTCTTTCCCCTGAATCCCACTATCTCTCTTTTTTTCCCTTTATTTATATCTCTCTTTTTTGTGTGATAAAATATACCTAACCAAAAATTTAGCATCTTAACCACTTTTAAGTGTAAAATAGTTAATTCAGTAACATTAATTATATTCATCATATTACACTAATATCACCATATTCCATAACCAGTTATTTTTTTGTTCCAAGAAATAAAACTCAGAATCCCTTCCACTTTAATTCAGTCCCTGTTCCAGCCCTTGTTAACCATTAATAAACTTTTATCTCTATTTACCTATTCCAGACATTTCATATAAATGAGAGCGTACAATATTTGGCTTTTTGTGCCCGACTTACTTTATTCAGCATGATGTTTTCAAGGTTCATTCATATCCTAGCCTGTCTCAGATTTTCATCTCTTGATGTGGCTGAGTTGACTGTTATGTATCTAACACAACTTTGTGCATCCTTCTTTGGATGTACACTTGAGTTGTTTACACACTTTGGGTATTATGAATAATACTGCAGTGAACCTTCATGTACACAAGTGTCTGTTTGAATCCCTACTTCCAATTCTTTCGAGTGTATTCCTGTTGTCATTAGGGACCATCGCTTTAACTTCACCTCACAGTGACTCGGTCCATGTACAACACATAGAAAGCTTGCTGGAGCCCGAGCGATCCTCATTATATCTGTTGTGTTTAAGTCCATTGCTATAAGGTCCATCTCATTAAGAGTCTTCCTTTCTTTCACCAATGCTTCATCCTCACAAGCAGGATGTCCTTCTCCAAGGACTGGGACCTTCTGACAGGATGTCCGAAGAATGTGAGACAAAGTCTCACAGCTTTTGCTCCCAAGGGGCACTCTGCCTGCACTTATTCCGACACAGGTTTGTCCATTCTTCTGACAGACTGTATTATATCCAATACTCTTTGCCAACACCACAATTCAAATCAGTTCTACCTTGGTCTTCCTTATTCTTTGTTCAGTTTTCACATACAAGGCAATCAACTGAAAAGACCATGGCTTAGATCAGGTACAACTAAATGTTTAAAGTGACATCCTTTCTCTTCAGCACTCTAAAGAGGTCCTTAACAGCAGATTGGTCCGGTGCAAATGGTTTGATTTCTTAACTACTGCTTCCTTGGGTGTTAGGGATCCAGACAAAAGGAAATCGGTGATGTCTTCAGGCTTTTCACCATCTGTCATGATGTTGCCTTCTGATCCAGTTGTGAGGATTTTTGTGTTCTGGATTTTGAGATGTAATCCATATTGGAGGCTCTGTAGTCTTTGATCTTCTTCAGTAAGAGCTGTAAGTGGTCTCCCTTTTCTGAAAAGAAGATTATGCCATCTGCAGAGCATAGGTTGTTAGGTTGTTGATGAGCCTTGCTTCAGTCCTGATAACCATATTTTTCTTCATTTAATCCACCTTCTCAGATACACATTGAATGGTGGTATAGACCCAGGAGTGAAATTACTGGATAATATGCTAATTCTGTACTTGTTAACTAATAAACTTTCCACAGTGGCCACATCATGTTAGCTTCCCTCTTTGGGCTTCCTCTTAATGAGTAGAATGCATGGCCACAGGCCTTCTCCAGCCCTGGCTGCAGTGCCCAGATATATTGGCCTCATAGAGAAGACTGGAGCCTTATTTTTAAATGTTTTCTGTTAAAAATCAATAAAGATTAATAGAATGCTCTGAAAATAATGAAAATTGCCTAGCTACCTTTTCCAAAGAAATTCTTATTGTATTAAAATGACCAGAATCCTCAAGATTGGATTGTAAGCTTTTCAATTGTCCTTTTCTACACTGAGAAATGTGATCACTCAGCATTTCTCAAGCTGAAGGAACTGAAGAACAAACGCAAGCCTTGTGTTATATTACTTTGTACGGTGAAATATTGAATGATCCAGGAAGCATCAGTAGGCGAAGGGAGGAATACACAGTCAAGTGGCACCAAAAAAAGGATGAGCTGATACAGAACCATTTCAGGAAGTAGCTTATAATCAAGAACCAGTGGTGATAAAGAAGGAAGTTCAAGCTGCTCGGAAGGAATTGACAAAAATGTAGCCTGAGTAATTGATGGGATAGCAATTGACACATCTCAACAAACAGATGCAACCCTGGATGTATTTACCACATTGTGCCAAGAAATCTACCTGGCCAGCTTACTGGAAGAAAGCCATGTTTATCCAACAAAGTATGGGGATTATTGAACAGTATCAGAAATATCACATTCTGAAAAGTATCCAAAAACAAATCAAAAAGTACACTGACAGAACTGCCAGAAATATGAGCAGAGTTTAGAAGAAGCCGTGGCACAAGCGACATTGTTGCCGATGTCAGATGGATCTTAATTGAAAGCATATAGTTCAGAAAAATATCTATTTTAGGGCATTTTTTGACTATGCAGACATTTGATTGTGGGTATCACAAAAAATTGTGACTAATGTTGGGAAAATGGGAATCCCAGAACACTTGATTGTGGTCATGCAAAATCTATACCTAGACCAGGAAGAAGTTGTCCAAACAGAGGAAAGGAACACTGCATGGTTCAAAATCCAGGCTGTATCCTTATCTCTATACCTTTTTAATCTATATGCAGAACAGATCCTTTGGGATCATGAAGAAAAATATGACCTCAGGATTGGAGGAAGATACATCAAACCTGCATTTTAGAGATGCTGACACAACCTTTCTTGCTGAAACAGAGGAGGACCTGTTGTGTTTACTGTAGAAGGTCAAGGTTTCAATATGAATTGAAGCTCAACATCAAGAAAACAAATATCCTCATCAGTGGACCATTTGGCAAAATTATGATAGATAGAGAAAAGATTGAGATTGTTAACAAATTCATCTTACTTGAATCCACAATCAACACTCTTGGCACTAGAAGTCAGGAAATCAAAAGACAAGTTACTTTAAGACAGTCTGCTCTTGGGAGGAGTGGGCGGGCAGGCAGGAAAATGTGCAACAAAGAATGAATGGAAATCCAAAATGTCTATAACCTTTCATGAAAATATATAATTTAAAATAAAAAAAAAAAAAGAAAGTCTGCTGTCAGGGACTCTCCAGAGTGCTAAAGAGCAGTGATGTCAGTCTGGAGACTATGGTGCATCTGATCTGGCAGTGGTCTTCTAAATTGCTTGCTATGCATTTGAGAGTGAGCAGTGACGTGACTTAAATAACAGAAGAAGAATCAAATGCCTTTGAATTGTGGTGCTGGAAAAGAGTATTGAACACACCATGGACAGCCAAGAAAATAAACAGGTCTGTCCTGGAGAGGGTGAAATCGGGTTGCTCCTTATAGGCAAGAATTTTGAAGATTTAGCTCACATACTTTGGGCATGTTGCCAAGAGAAACCATTCCTTGGAGATGGACATCATGCTTGGAAGGCTAAAGTGTCAGTGCAGGAGAGGAAGACCCTGGATGATAAGACTGGCCCAGTTGACTGTAGCAATGGGGGCATGTGCATCAGAGATGATGAGATTGACTCAGGATAGGATAGGGTTTAGTGCTATTGTTTATAGGGTCACTATGAGTCGTAGTTAACTTGATGGCACATAATAACAACAACACTCTGCTAATGAGCCCTCAAATATTTCTTATTTTTAAAAGAATAAGAAAAATACTAATCCTGAAAAGCAAGTCTGTGGCACTTAACCACATGAAATCCATTAAACACTACCACAAAGAGACTGGAGACGGGGCATGTCAGTTGAGCATACCTAATGCCAAGCAGTGACATCCAGAGATCCAAGGGGTAGATCTTTCCAGAAGCAGACTGTCTACAGAGTGGGTGTGAGTTCAAACCACCAAGCTTTCATTTAGCATCAAGTCCTTAACCAGCTTGCTGCTGAGACTACTGACCTGTGGATAACGGTATAGGTTGAAGACTGGAATACATTCAGGTGCCTTTTGCAGACAAGTGCCTTGTTTGTGGAAATTCAAGAAATGCCTCAGCCAGGCTATACCCACCTTCCCTTACTCAGTGACCTCCCAGGGTCACAGGCTTAGACCCAGGCCATCCTCATCAACAAGGCTGCCCATTCAATTTGAGATCAGTTTGGCGAGATGTTCTCCATAAAACAAAAATGCAAGCATCTATTGATGACCAGAATTTGTTTCTTTTTCTTTTTCTAAATGATGTTGATCAGATTTGGAGAATAATAAGTGTGGAGATGGGAGGGTGGGGTGTAGAGGGTGCCAAAGAGAAGATTGCTGTTTCACAGACAGCCTAAAGTTAGAGAATGTGTCTCTCACATACGAGGCAGTTTGAGCAGGGACAGGAAGGGGTGAGGAAAGCTAGCCAGGCGGATTTCAGAGGAAGAATGTTATAGATAGATAGACTGCAAGTACAAAGGTAAGAGCATGCCTGGTGTGGCCAGGGATGAGCCACAAGGCCAGAGTCGCCAGGTTAGCATCAAGGAGAATGGCAGGAGATGAGGAGATGGGCCCTTCTGCTGTCTCATGAGGATCAGATCACAGAGGGCTGTGTGTGGCATTGGGAGGGCAGTGGCCTTTCCACTGGGCTGGAGTTGCTAGAGGCTCATGAGCTGAAGAATGACAGCTGGGTGTGGTTTTAGAGGCTCCCTGATTTTTGTGTTGAAAATAGACTAGAGAGAGAAGGATAGAAACCGAGAAATCCCATGAGGAGGCTCTTAGGTTGACCACAAGTGATAATAGCAGTCAGGACCAAGTGGTAGATGTGAGGACATGATCAGTGATCCCATTCTAATAGTATTTTGAGGATAGAAGTGGCTGGATATAGAATAAAAAATGGGTTAGAGTGGACAATGTGAGAAAGTAGACTCAAAGGAGACCCCAGCCAAATCTTGACCTAACAGCTGGAGGACTCGTATGCCCACTCAAGAAAGAGGAAAACCTTGGGAGAAGAGCAGGTACGAGAAGTCAGGTGATTAACATCCTAGGTTCCAAGTGAAGATACCAAATTGGATCTGTATGTTTGGAGAGAGCCTCATCCAAAAGATAAGAAATGTGCGTGGTACTTGGTGTGTGTCAGCTGACCTACAGAAGCATCTCATCATTTTCTGTTTCTTGGTGCATTCTGAGGTGGGAAGAAGAAAGAGCTATTTAAGTAAATGCAGACAAAGGTGGGTGGGAGCTTCTAACTTGATGACTAGAAAACAGACCTAAGGGCTCAGTTCCACCCTCAGAGCCCCTGCTGTTGGCTGCAGGCTTCCTATTATGTGTAAATGGCATGGAGTAGTTGTGCATTTTTGAGGAGTAAAGGAACTCTGGAATGGAGAAACTATAGTTTCCAACAAGCCACAGCCTTCAAGTAGATTGTGACTCATAGTAACCTGTTAAGAACAAGTACGACTGCAACAGAGTGTTTTCAAGGTAACTACAGGAACAGACTCCCTCAGAGTGGCTGGTGGATTTGAACCAACAACAGCCCAGCACTAACCCACTATGCCACCAGGACTCCTGTGTAGATTCAAGGAGCTCTTAATCATGAAGCGAGGTCACCCCAAGCAACCATGGTCTTCCTCTTTTGATATTTCTTCCACTCTTCACTCAGCCACTCACCATCCCCTCTTTCCTCCCAGTGCCACCACAATTAGCCTCTAATCATTCTTCTCTTTTTTATTTTTAACTCCTAGCTATACAGATGTTATTGACGTTGTCCAGGCACTGCAGACCCATCCAGACACAAATGTCAAGTCTTCCTTTACGATTGGTGCGATCACGGCGTGCGTGGAGCCCCTGAGTTGCTACATGGAGCACAGGTATTATTTGGAACCACCTGTAACCTGCAGGAATCTGTGTGTACAGAGAGTGAATTTTCTCCCACCCACCAGAAGGAGACACATGTTTATAGTGTCTTAACCTTTGGAGTGCGTGCATCTGCCTCATGTGTAAGAAATGATCAGTTATTCTTCCGTAGGACTGGGCTGTCAGAAACCCCATTTAGACTGGCCTTTCACCGTTCCTCTTGGTCCATCTATGACAACGGATCTTGAAATAAATTCTCCCCCAAAGAAAGATTGCCCCCTAGCTGTGTTTTCCCTATTTACTGCAGAATGAGGGCCGGAGGTGATGAGATCCAGTGTCTCAGGTATTTGGAGTATCTCACAGATACTTTTCTTACTGTTAAGTCATCTGCTAATGAAACTCATTCCCTCTCGTCATAGTGAGAATGAGTGTCATTTGGAAGGACATTTTGCAACAACAGCAAAGAACACTGGGTAATAACTCACTCATAATCCTGCCATCACTATTAGAGTTTTTGCCAATCCTTTCCTGCAATTTTTTTTACTATGTCATTTGCCAATACTTTTGGATCCTTTTTCTTAAGTTGACCTATGAACGTTTTATGTAGCTTAACATATATGTTCTTGTATCATAATGGTAATTACATCTTGATTAATTGTATAATCCTTCTAGTGTTTGGATGAATGTCATTGGCTTAGCCAATTCTCCACTGTTCAGGAGTCTCAAACTTTTCACTATAATAAATAATGCTGTAGGGCAACATATTTATCTGTAAAATTTTTTACAAACTTTGATTATTTCCATAGAATAAATTCCCCTAAAGAGGTATTAATGGAACTGTGTGATCAGTTTTATTATTATTTTTTTATGTTTTTAAATTCCTTTGGGGGTGGGTTTTATAGCTCAAACTACCAGCAGTTATGTCTGTCAGTGTTTTACAGCATCAAAGCACTGCTCACTTGGCTAAGTTTCAAGTGTGACGTTACTCCTTTGTAGAGCTACGTGTCTCCCTTCTGTGCCCTGGAATGTACCCAGGTCTGTAATCATGTGTTTTTTCTGGCTGTTTCATATTATTATCCTCTCCTGGTAACTGATTGATCTGTTCTTAGCCCTTCACCTGAAAAGACTCTCATCCTCCTTCAGTTCTAAGTTGATATCTTTAGTCTTCTGTCAGAAATTTTATTATTGGCTACTTCCCTAATTACCTTGCTTGATCCTTCTTGTTGTTGTTGTTGATTGCCATCAAGTAGAGCACAACTCATAGCGACCATATCAACAAAAGACCTGAAGCCTTTTGATAGCTATCCTCATTTATCAAAGTGCATAGAGTTCTCAAGGCATGTTCAGGAAGTGGATGTCACTCCTGCTTCCAGTGCTTGACCCTTAGCAATCCCTTAACTATTTTTACTTTTCTTGAGCTATGACCTCGACTTTGCTCTTCCATAAAGAAGCCAGAGTGGTCTAGTTTTCCTTCTGTGTAAGCTTATGATTTCCAAGTTGGCTCTCCTATGATATTCCTACCATTCATGTGCCTTCCTTTTTCTTAAGTTTTTATTTAAAGGTGAATTAAAGAGAATGTAGAATAACTTAGGACTAGATACTTGAATCATAGGAAAAGCAATCACAGATGGAGAGTACACTTGAAAAGAATTCTCCCAGGCAAGTACTTTTCCACAATGTCAAAAAAATTGTAAGGAACGATCAGGAATAGGGTGGGGAGAACTTACAAAATAGAAAAGGTCTGAGAAAATGAGCATGAGGTCCTTCTCAGGATGCTGGAATGTTCTAAAATTGGATTGTGAAGATGGTTACACAAATTTGTAGGTGTACTTTTATTAGGTTGTACACAGTGAATTGTGTACTTTAAATTAATGAATTCCATAACATGCAAATTTTACCTCAATCATACAGTTTTTCATGTTGTTGTTTTTATGTGGCGTCGAGTTGCTTGTGACTCAAAGCGACCCTATGTACAACAGCCCTAAACTCTGCTCTGTCTTGTGCCAATCGCACTGTCTCTGACACTCCCATCCCGATTATCCTAGTCACTGAATCAATCCACCTCATAGAGGGCCTTCCCCTCCTGCGCTGTCCCTCCACCCTCCCAAGCATGATGTCCCTCTCCAAGGACCGGTCTCTCCTCACAACATGTCCAAAGTATGTTAGACAGAGCCTCAGAATCCTTACCTCCAAGGAGCCACCCTGTTTAACCCTTTACAGGATGAATCTGTTTGTTTTCCTAGCAGTCCATGGTGCCCTCAGTACTCTTCTCTCCAACACCCCAGCTCAAAGGCATCAGTTCTCCTTCTATCCTCCTTGGTCATTGTCCAGCAGTTTTTCATATTAGAGGAAAAAGAAACATAAAAAGGCTGATAGAAAACCAGCTCTTTGAGCTCTAAAACCAAAGTAAAAATTAAAATCACCATGGAAATGAAAATCTCATTTGAAGCAATAAGAAGTAACATAAACACTGTTGAAACTTGTGTCTATAGTAAAGAGCTACAAGCTTGAGAAAATAGAAGTCTAGTGGAAATAGGCAAAGCATTAACAGCCTTTGAGAGAAAGAGTACAGATAGCTTTTGTGGATTAAGAACCATTTCTCTGTGTGCTTAGGGCATAATAAATAAATGCTCACAAAGTAGCTGTTGGCTGATGTGGCAAAGCCAAGTAAAGGTTTTTTGGTTTGTTTGTTGTTGTTTTTTTTTAGTTTTGGTTTCTCATTTTTTTATTAATTTTAATGAAAATTTACAGAGACTTTGGATTTCCATTCATTCGTTGTTGCACTTTTCTCCCTGCCCACCCCTCCCCCCCAGTACCCTCCTCTCTTTGAAAAGTAAAAGAAAAATTCCCCCATTGTTTTACTCTCCCTCCCGCCAGATCCACTGCACTGTGCAGCCTTCGTTCCAGACTCCTGTCATGACAATAATACTTAATCACATATCCCTTTTAAACGGTTTTCTCCCTCATCTGTGTCAGTGCAGTATACATTATTTATCCCCCCTTTCTCAGTCTCGCCCCAACCCCAATGTCAGTCCATTTTACAAAAGTGGCACTATGCAGTATTTGTCCCTTGTGACTGAGATATTTCACTCAGCATAATATTCTCCAGGGTCATCCATTTTGAATAATATTGCATGAGTTCCTTGTTTTTCAATGCAGCATAGTATTCCATTGTGTGAATATACCACAGCTTCTCTATCCATTCATTTGTTGATGGACGCTTAGGTTGTTTCCAACTCCTTGCTTTCGTGAACAAAGCCGCATAAACATGGGTGTGCATATATCTGCTTGCGTGGCAGTTATGGTCTCTTTGGGGCCTATTCCCAGTACTAGAATTGCTGGGTCAAATGGTATTTCTGTTTGCCACTTTTTGAGAAAGCGCCATACCGCCTTCCACAGTGTTTGCCCCATTTTACACTCCCACCAACAGTGAATAAGGGTTCTGGTTTCTCCACAACCTCGCCAGCATTTATTGCTTGTTGTTCTGTTAAATTTTGCTATTCTTACTGGGGTGAGATGATATCTCATAGTTGTTTTTGGCAGTTTGAATCTTATCAGCAGCTCCGTGAGAGAAAGATAGATAATCTCCTCCCATGTATACTATATTGCCTCTGAAAACCTGCTGGAGGGTCTGCTATAATTCAGTTCTGACTCAGTGGCATGAGGGTTCTTTGGTGGTCATTCGACATTTCTCCAGACTGCTTTCTACAGCACATGTATCATTGTACTTTCCCACCAGCAGTTCACCAGTGTTGTGAGCAGCGTTCACACCTGCCATCTAGACCAGCAAGTCACATGGGTGACTCACTTGCAGGGGGAAAAATACATAGCAGCTGGGTTCCCCTCTTAGTTTCACCCCTTGCTTAGCTGTATGGGAGACGTTGAGAAGAGTTGGTAGCCTGGTTTGGCATTCTAAACCCACCTCTTCTCATCTGTTAAATATTCAAGGCACAGAATGGACATGCAGACAGACTCAGGTAAAGTATTTGCCCAGTGCCTAACTCATAGTAGGAACGCTGTAACAGGATGTGATTTTCATTAGTGTTCACTGTCCCCCAGGGAAGAACATTGTGTTGTTTTAGGAATTTTAAACCCCAGATTATTGAGGTTTTCTGCCATTATTAACTAATGAACATTTTTAATCCGTCTCCCCCACCTCCTGCTTTACTTGCATCTAGTCAGACATTTTTCTTCTCTGCCTTTGCTCTTAGGGTTAAAGATGAGACTGGAGAGATTCTGGTGTACATGCAGAAGAGAGAGACACGGAAACCTTGATACTCAAGGTCCCTGGCGGGTTAGATGAATGTAGTTCCTCTCATTTCCCTGTGATATTTCCTGTTTACCATCAGAACAGTATCTCTTTCATAAAAGACCAGCTCATCTCCGTCTCCTCTCTCTCCAGTTTTATGTCCTACTGTGTTGAGAGCTGGTTCAGACCTTGTTGTTGTTATGTACTGCTGAGTCGGAACTGACCCATAGCTTACCCTCCAGGGGGTTTTCAGAGACAGTTAATCACACGGGAGGAGATTGCCCATCTCTCTCCCACTAGGGTCTAGAACCTAGTACCCCATTTTTCAGCATTGCACCAAGCATTGGCCACCCAGGGACTTCCAGCAAGCCAAAGGCAACTGACTGTAGGGACTCTAGCTTAGGGAGCCTTTTGGGGAGCACCCAGGATTTTGAGAGAGTCTTTGTTCTTATTATTATCAGAGGGCCTTTTAACTAATCATGGCTGTTTTTCCTGGTCAGTGCTTGCCTGCCGTGCTACACCATCCATCCATAAGCTTGCATATCAGGGATGTTGAGATTTTTTGAGAAATAAGCAATGACAATTCTGAGATTAAAAGTTTTAAAATATTTCTCTTTTTTTTTCTCCTCTAGATTTCTCTTCCCTAAGTGTCTTGATCAGTGTTCACAAGGTAAGCAATATACTTTTTCTTTTGCCTGCCTTTTTTCAAATTCTTTTTAGATGGAATAGATTTTTCTTTTTGTACCAGCCTACCAGTCTGAAATCTAAAACACACAAAATAGATTTAAGGGAAACTTTGACATAGTGTACTTTGATCATATTTAAGAGGCACATTTCTTCTAAGAGTTTGTCTCTTTAGTGACAATAAATCACCATGGTAATGGCCTCGGCTGTGCTGCACCTAAGGTGTCCTGATTTTCTGGCTAATATCAGTGTACTGAGTCAATATTCCTAGCCTCTGGATCAGCAAGATCTTCATGTACTTCTGTCCCAGAAGTGTGCCCAGCGTGATCCATTTCCTTAATCTTCCCCCAATGCATTGGAATTTTCCATAACTCATTGATAACATTCATAAAATCCACCCGTTCTGTAGGTTGCACCCAGCCTTGCTCTGTCCCACCTCCTGGCAACCTACTGCTTGGTTATATTATCAATCGTGCCTGGAGATCCAGAATAAACTCTAAAGTTCCCAACAATATGAAATGTTCATTGTTGTCAGGAGATAATCCTGGGGTCCAGGCTTCCTGAGCCGGCCCAGCAGGCAAAGATCAGAAGGCAGCAAACAGCTCAGTGTCCCCTCTATAGCTTTGCCTTACTGATCCCATCGCCAGTCCGCAGGAAGCGGAGATAATAGAGCATTCCAGGGCTGTTGTCTTGGGAAACAGCCAAACTGAGTGCTGCCCAGGGCAGGAGGCAGGACTCCTCCAAAAGTATGGATGTGAGACTGCTGTACCAGGTAGTCTCAGGTGCATCTTTCAGAGGCCTCTGCTGCTTTTCAAGCAGTTCTCTACTCCAAAAGAAGCATAGCATGAAAGTTGACTGGGTCTGTCCCAATTAGAGTAGAGAGATTTTGTACAGGTTAGGTCATAAGAATCTGATGACAGACTAGAAATGAGGACATGAGAGAATAGCAGTACCTCAGGTATTTTGAGGTTTCCAGCCTGAGGGGGATTGGAAAGGTTGGTGGAATCCATCCTTGAAATAGCATAAAAGGGGAAAGAAGGGAGGTGATGTAGTCTTCATGGATGGAAGGAGAAGGTTTGCTATGTAGACACAGAGCCAAAGAGGGTTGTCTGATCTTCAGACACATGTTTGAAAGTCATGGTCAAAGCCAAGGTCATCAGTGTCATCAGTCAGTAGCCAGATGTGGAGTAGAGTGAAAATGGCAAGAAGAGAGAAATGAGGAGGAAGTCCAAAAGACTAAAGGATAAGAAGAAGAAAGAGTCCTCACACAGAGGATGGAAAAGCAGCAGAGATCAACAGTGTAGACTGTTACCAGGATCCCAAGTGAAGGACCCTGGGGACTCAGCAGGAGGATCCGACTGGAGAGGTGAGGGCCAAAACCAAGTCTGAGTCAGCTGGTGATCGATGAGACTCAGCAAATGTGGATATTATTTAGGATGCGTGAGACGCTGCAAAGAAAAAAATGAAGGGTGCCAGCCGGAAGAGAATATCTCTAAGAAGGCAAGTGTCACAGTCCTTACTTGTTGAGGAAAACACTAGGCTTTGATGGAGTGGGGATCGTAGGAGTAGCTCAGTCTGGGAGTGAAGGTTGACTTAGAAGAAGCAGTAGGAGGGGAAATTGAGGGAGTATTGGCCTTTTAGCCTCACTGTTGGGACTGGCCAGTAGCAGTGCCTGGCATTTTGCTGTCCTGTCCAGCGCCACGTCCTTTCTCAGTCACATAAATGTTGTTGCCCTCTTTTCCCTCCAAAACCCCTTAACCAGAACATGATTATCGCTACACTTGGCTCCTTGACTTTCACAAAGCCTCCGTGCCTGTCTGCTTTTCTGCATGAGAGACAAGCACACAGATGGTCACACTGCCCTGGAAGAACAGAGCCTGGGGGGAAATGCTTGGTGTTCACTGCTCATAAACATGGAGCAGGCCAAGAGGAGAGCCCCCGCTAGCCGGCTCCGGTTTACCAACAGACTGTGTGACTCTGGTGTGTGGTGGGTCGGCATATTCATTAATACCGTCTCACTGACTCATTGTGCAAAGCTTATAAAATCCTGGGCCTGTATTGAGCCAGAGGTGAGATAAACTGTGCAAGATGCCCCGGACACAGTATGTGCTGCTTTCTGAACTTCTTGGGGCGTGTGAAGGTTGGGTCTGTATGGTTTTGCATAACTGTGTCTATGTAACTTCTTGCATCTGGACCAAAGAACCTTATGGACTAGGCTTCCCCTGGGCCTGGACAGTCTGAAAGTTAGGAGATAAAATCCAGAGATCTCCTCGGAGATTTGGTGGCTCACTTGGCCATGAGTTCTGTTGCAAGCAGACAAGCGGTTTAAGTCCAGGAGGGCTTGTTGCCCCCCTTTGCTCCCCTTTATGAGTCAGGTGTTCCTGGTTTGTTATTTTAACAACAGAGGAATGTTCAACAGTGAGATAAGAAGTGTGTTTTGTGCCCAAGATGATGTGTGTTACAGAAAGCCGGGGACAGACGAGCAAACTCAGGTGACATGAAAGGCCATGCCCCACTTTTAAAAGTAGACAAGAGAAGGGAACTTTGTTTTCTCCTGAGCTGTGGAAAGCCTCTAGCCCTACGATGGCCCGCCTGCTCACCCGCAGGGATGTTTCTTGGGAAAGGAGCAGGCCAGCCTGCCTGCCTGCTCACAGCCCAGTGCAGTGAGATTTTGACCAAATCAGAGTCTCCACTCCTGGATTCTAAAACAAAGGACGCTCTGGCCCCAAATAGGATAAAACCCTTGGCATCTTCACCCTGTGCTCCAGATAACTGTTGCACCTGCCTCACAGATGGCATTTCCTCTTGGCAGGTGGCAGTTTACTTAGCTGGCCTGCGGAATGCTGGGGATAATCCTCTTGCTTGTTTCGCTACAAGGCAAAGGCCCTTTTCTGTGCTCCATTCCTGAGCTGGAAATGCCAGCCCCACAGAATCTGCCCACCTGGTACCCGTGCTGCAGACAGGACTTGGGGCAAGCTGTTAGAGGCTCAGATCCCAGCCTTCTCCTGGGCCGGCCAGCCTACGTTTGTGACCCTGCTATGTGCCGCCCGAGTGAGCATGTCTGCATTAGTCTGATTCTGCGGTTTTGTTTGCCTAAGAAGGTAACAAGGCCTTTATCTTTATAGGTCTGTGAGAAACCTATTAAAACCTTTGGAGCTCAGGATTTTCATAGACTCTGGTCCCATGTCTGCCTCCTCCGGAATGTGCTGAGCCGTCTAAGATCCCTGCTGTGTCTCACTCTAGGCCTGGCCTCCTGACCTTGTCTTAAGTCCATTTCAAGGTCCTTAGTCACTTCCTGTGGCGGCACCAGGCCATGGGGTTCTGGCAGCAGGCTCTTCAGACTGTCCAGGGTGACCTTGCCAAATAGGAATAGGAACGCGGCGCAGTCACCACCAGCCCCCCCTTTCTTCAGGAAGCATCCCTGGAAGGTTTGTCGGATGTGAAAGCCTCTGAGCAGAAGGAACATGTGAGGGTTTCATTTAAACAAGATGCTGAAGATTTTGAATGTGGGAGAAGCTCTTAAGAAAACATGACTATATATTCATATATACCGACTGTCTGAGGAAAGACACGCGAGAGCTGATTATATCAGTGGTTGCCTCTGCAAGAGAGAACTGGTGTGGTGCCCAGGGAGTGCAGGAGGAGAAGCAGGCTTCTACTGAATACCATCTTGTACTTTCTGAATCTTGGACCAAAAATGAGTATTTACTAATTTAAAAATTGTCTAAAGCCTCATTAAAATACAAACAGAAGTCTGAGAAACCTTTTTTAATTGGCAGTTTGATGAATAGTGTTTGTTCAGTTAGATGTAGGAAAGGTTTTTGCATGTGAGTCCCCCAGCTTAGCTGCTTGGGCAGCTGCCTCCTCACAGATCAGGTTACATGTGCCTTAATTGGTTCATTAATTCATTCACTCAGCAAATCTTTATCCAGTGCCTGCTCTTGTTGTTGTGTTCTTATTGTTGTTGTTTTTATATACCAGTGAGTCAGAGCTGACTCATAGCTGACCCTCCAGTAGGTTTTCAGGGGCAGTTAATCGCACAAAAGGAGATTGCCCATCTTTCTTCTGTTGAACAGCTGGTGGATTTACACCTTCTGTTTCCAAGCTAGTGTCACAACACCTTGCCTCTAGGCCACCAGAGTTTCCTGGCCCTTAGGAAAAGCTTCCAAGAGAAGATGCTGTTCAGATTTTCTGTGGTCAAAGAAGAGGTGACACACCAAAAAAGGAAGGGGAAGATCGTTCCAGAAAGAAGGAGCAGCCAGAGTGGAGGCCTGATGGTAGCTCGAGTGTGCATAGGGCCTGGAGAAAGTACAGCGTACAGAAAGAGGAAGCCAAGGGTAATCGGAGCTCATTGGGATATTGTAAGTGGGCAGTAACATGAGGTAATATCATCCTTACTACAGCTGGAAGAATGAATTGCAGAAAAAGAAGCCTTCAAGTAGAAACTGGGTATGACCCAGTGAAGAAAAAGTAGTGGTCAGGACAAGGCAAGTGGTTGAGGGGTTTAAAGTGGGACGTGGAAGGCTCCCAGAACTGCTTCATGCCCCACAAGGTCTGATGATGGAGGAGTGAGAGGACTCAGGTCCCTCCATGGCCTCTCACCAAATGACCAGAGGCGGAGGACCAGCACACACCACCTGGATGTCAGGAGACGGCTGTTGAGGAAATGCCTCAACTCTCTCTCAGTCACGTAAGCCCTGGTCGGAGGTAACAGGCCATATGTATCTGCCTCGAGTCAACCCAGTAGCTCTGGAGCACTAAAGGCCCTGAGACAGTAGGACCTGTGTCTCAGAATCAGGGAGAAAAGACCCACTATGGTCCATGAGCACTTAGGAAACGGGTTCGGGCTCAGCAGGTGAATGAACCCTAGGTCCTGATGGTGTGTGGTCCCAGGCACATGGCATAGCCGATGTATGTGCTCTTTCCCCGTGGGAGCATCCGACCATTGGCATGAGTACTGCTAATCCCTGTTGTCTGTTCTTGAAT